CTTTTACTTTTTAACGAACTTGCCAACAAAAGTTAGGACTAGCATCAGTGTTGCGTGTTACCAAGAGTCCAAGACAGACAGGGTAAGTCTTCAACACATTACACATAATTGTTGCTATATCTTTTAGTAACTCAAGTATTCTATCTAAACTGTCTAAATCACCACGGTAACTCTCCAGTCTCCACCAAATTTTTTTTTTAGAAAGATAGAATAACCCATGGTAGTAGACATGATGTCATTCAAAAGGTAATGATTCAAATTTGGGCTTCTCACATCGAATATATATATATATGAGACAAAACGAGACTCATGAATCAGGACCCTTCCTAACTAGAAAATCAGCGACATGATTACCTTCTTTATACATATGGGAGATAACAACATCCATCTCATAGCTCAAAAATCGACCAATTTGATTTGCAATAAGCCGATGTTGGTGGTCGTTTTCATTCCAATTCTTGATTACGGTTTCCAAGCCAAGTTTCATCTGTATTTTGCATGTTTCTTTCCAATTCTTAATAAATTGTAGTAGGTATTGGCGACACTTTTTAAACCAAACGAGACCCAATCACCATTAACATCACCTAAACCATACGTGATGATCGCTCGTTTAACGGGACTTTTAAAGTAGTAATTCTATGATTTCGACAAGTTGGCCAAGATAATTTGGACGAGAAACTTGGAATGTATATGGTCAGAATAACTATCTCATCAGTCAATCTAAACTTACGTGGTAAATTCGTTAGAATTCAAAGTACAATGATCAATTTGTTAGTAACCCTAAGTTTAATGACCATTTCTGTAATTGAACGTACCAAAGACAGTAATTCGCATCAAATGATCTCCAGTGGAGTAAAACACTAATATAATTTTGTTCCTTGATTTGTTTGTAATTGGGACGGTTGTCTCAGATCACAAGCAGAAGAAGAAGAAATTAATTAAAAGCCAAAAATTGATATCAATTTGCCCCCCATCACCATCATCAAGTTTCAGAGAGAAATCCACTTCCTAAATATACCTTCCATTGGTTTGCTTAATAATTCACCACAATCCTTGACATATAAATTTCCACACATCACTGTTCCATCTTCCAACAACCCAACATTTCTTGTTCTCTTGATCAACAAAGAGAACAAGAAAGTACCAAAAATGTTGGGGAAGAACATGAACATGGCGGTTGCCTATCTCATCACCTTCACCACTCTGTTCTGCATCACCGCAGCAGCTCCAGTAGAGAATGCCTTGAAGACTTACCTGGTCTTCGTCGAGAAGCCTCATGGCCTGGATTCATTGGAATCGGAAAATCTAGACAGCTACTACCAGCAATTCCTGCCGGTGACTACAGAGTTGAGCTCCGACGAGCCGCGGATGGTCCATTCGTACCGCCATGTCATCACAGGTTTCGCCGCCAAGCTCACATCGGCAGAGGTCGAGGCGATGGAACAGAAGGAAGGGTTCCTCTCCGCGCGTCCGGAGAGGATCCTTTCGCTCCAGACTACTTACACCCCCAAATTCCTGGGGCTGCAGCAGAATACAGGGTTTTGGAACTCATCAAACTACGGGAAAGGAGTAATTGTCGGAGTGTTGGACACGGGCGTGACGCCTAACCACCCTTCGTTTAGCGACAAAGGCATGCCTCCCCCGCCGGCCAAATGGAAAGGCAAATGCGAGCTCAAGGAGGCCTGCAACAACAAGGTAATCGGCGCCAGGAATCTCGTCGCCAGCGGAGAATCCCCTGCTGACGACGAAGGCCATGGCACCCACACCGCGAGCACCGCTGCAGGTAGCGCGGTGAAGGGTGCCAATGCATTGGGACAAGGATGGGGGACTGCTTCCGGTATGGCGCCGATGGCGCATTTGGCCATCTACAAAGTGTGTGGCGAACAGGGTTGCCCTGACAGTGCCATATTGGGCGCAATTGATGCAGCCGTTGGAGATGGCGTGGATGTGCTCTCGCTCTCTCTCGGCGGCGATTCAGCTCCTTTCTACGAAGACGGGATCGCCATTGGTGCATTCGGAGCGATCAAGAAGGGAGTGCTTGTTAGCTGTGCAGCAGGGAACAATGGCCCGACTACCGGGTCGTTGTCGAACGAGGCGCCCTGGATTCTAACCGTGGGAGCTAGCACGGTCGATCGTCAAATGGGATCGACCGTGCTGCTAGGGAACAAGAAGGAAATGGATGGTCAGACCTTGTTTCAGCCCAAGGATTACCCGTCGAAAATGTTGCCGCTTGTCTATGCAGGATCCTCTGCTAACTCCTCTGGAGTTTACTGCGCGCCAGGGTCACTGAACAAGCTAGACGTCAAGGGCAAAATGGTGGTCTGCGAGATGGGAGGCGAAATCAAGAGGCTAGACAAAGGAATTGAAGTGAAGAGCAATGGTGGAGCTGCAATGATCCTGATCAACAATGTCGCTAATGGCTTCACAACTCTGGCCGATGCTCATGAGCTTCCGGCCTCCCATGTAAGTTATGAGGCCGGATTGGCCATCAAGGCTTACATGAACTCCACATCATCTCCAACCGCCAGCATCATGTTCAAAGGAACCGTAATTGGGAAACAGGATGCACCCCAAGTGGCGTCCTTCTCGTCCAGAGGTCCGAGCCAGGCTAGCCCGGGGATCATGAAGCCCGATGTGATCGGACCGGGAGTGAGCACGCTAGCAGCCTGGCCGGTTCCTCTGGAGAACATCAACAACACTTCCGGACCTATATTCAACATGATCTCGGGCACATCGATGGCTTGCCCTCATATGAGCGGCATCGTGGCTCTTGTCAGAAGCGCTCATCCAGACTGGTCGCCAGCTGCCATCAAATCTGCCATCATGACCACGACCCATCTAACTCAAATAAGTGGCAAGCCGATCACTGACGAGCAGGGTCTTATTGCTGACATGTTTGATATGGGTTCGGGCCATGTGAATCCATCCGGGGCGAGTAACCCTGGGTTGATTTACGACATTCAGCCCGATGACTACATTCCATACCTGTGTGGGTTGGGTTACACCAATGCACAAGTTTCTACCATCGTGCAGAAGAAGGTGGAATGCTCGTCGAACCAGTCGATATCAGAAACTCAATTGAACTACCCGTCATTCGTTCTGCAGTTGGGGTCTCAGCCTCTAACATTCACGAGGACAGTGACAAATGTCGGGAAGGCAAACTCGGTGTACAAAGTTGAGGTGTATGCGCCCAGCGGTGTGGAAGTGAAAGTCGAGCCAAAGGAGATAGTTTTCAATACGTTGAACGATAAAGCAAACTACTCGGTCACGTTCTCGGTGAAGAACGGGACGAGCCAGAGGTTCGTGCAAGGGAGCTTGTTCTGGGTAGCAGATGGCTACAGTGTGAAGAGTCCATTTGGTATCATTGTGGACTAACTAATTCATGCCTTGCCCCATTTACTATTCTTTGTACCTGCTTTATTTTTTTATTGTGTTTTAAGTGATACACAATCACTAATTATACGATTTTCCTTTCGACTTGGTGGTTGATTTGACATGTTCAGAAATGAGATTGCACTGATGAAATGCAAATTGTAATGCGGAGATGTTATTGTTTGAAGTAAAAAAAAAGATGGTGTCATCTTCTTATTTATTTACTTTTTATCGTCATCTTCTTATTTCTAGTGTGAAAGAAAACATATTAATCCGATAAAAAAGATCAGTAAACATATTAACCTAGATTTTTTGAGTGAGAGCTAAATATCGTGACCAGATCGCTACGGATTTATTTTACCTTAAAAAAACTTTCACATAGTTGGATTGTCAATTAATCGACCAACAGCTGTTCCTTAATTCTATTTTTATGATCAGCAAAAACTACATAAATTTTTATTGTAGCATCTTATTCAGTTCTCATCGGGATACCTTTAGAGAAAAAAAAATCAAAACACAATTAATAGACTACATTGGTGACCCAAGCAAAGACCAAGGATTTTGTCCAGTATTCAATAATAAAATAAAATTAAGAAATTTAACAAATTAATTTAACAAGGCTTTTTTTCTATGAATCGGTATACTTTCATTCCATCAAAAAAGCAGTGCTGGCAACACCCTTGCCAGCTACGGGAAATGGGAACAGAATGTTAATGAAACCATAAACAGAATAAAAAACACTTCACCTATAAAGCTATCAAACCAAACAACTATTGAAAAAAAGAAAAACACCTAACTCGGGGGAGAAGGGTAAGAGACCTGAAGTAGCTAGAAACCAGATATCCAGAACCTATCCAACTCATTCGGATCCTGCACCAGCACACACACTTCACTTTTAATAAGTTGAACCAAAGCCTAAGGAAACCTCTTGTGACCGCCAAACGCCCTCTTGCAACGCTCTCTCCACACATGACTCACCATAGACTGCCAAATCATTCGACCATTCGTTGCACACACTGATTTTATACCAAACTTCCTTATAGCCCAGCTGAGATTCTCCTTCCAGTTCTGAGGAAAGAAAGAGCAAAACCTCCCTAGCAACTGCTGATGAACAGCAGAGTAGTAGGGACAGACAGAGAACAGGTGATCCCTTGTCTCTCCTGCCTGATCACAGAGGGGGCAATGGTTAAAACCTGCAAATCCCCACTTTTTCATCTTGTCTTTTGTCTGAATTTTGTTGTGTATAATGAGCCAAACAATGAATCTATTCCTAGGGATGGAGAGTGTTGCGGTTACTTAAACCGTGTTAGTATTGGGCCTTGTTGGGCCTTGTCCGAGTTGTAGTAGGTACGGATATGTAGCCGTACTCGACTCTTCTCATTAGGGTTTTAACCCTAGTCTATCTCTATATAAGCTTAGCTACGAGATTGTCGTAAGCAAGCCGTCAAGATGTAATCCTAATAAGAGATCAGCCGTGAGCTCTTATGAGCTCACCGTGGATTAGTCTCAATCAATCGATCGAGGATACCACGTAAAACTTTTGTGTTCTGTGTTCGTTTCAATTCCGCGTTATCAAATTCTACATGGTATCAGAGCTGTAGATTCAGCTAGTCTTCCGCACATCAGCGATGTTCATCCCGCTGGTTTGTTTTATTCATCAGCGACGTTATTCCGCTGAGCATAGTCGGCCTAGGCGAAGTCCATTCCGCCGTGGGTCATCAATCGCCAATCATTCGTGGTTGTTGTCATCAGGAGAGCCGAGGTTCATTCCGGCCTCCAACTCTGTCTTGGTCGTTGTCCTTGCCATCAGCGCCCTCGGCATCTACAGTCAAGGTCAGAATACTATGTTTGTCCTCTCAGTTCCTGAAGTTCACGGCTTTGGTTAAACAGTCTCACCCGAATTCCTGGGATTCAAGAACAGACCACGGTGATACGTCTTTGGAATCTAGAAGTCAGTCAAGGAGCAGCCTGAATTTCAGCTACAGTCATCCTAGCCTCAAATCCGATCAATCCACCAGTGCATCAACAGGCGGCGGATCTTGCTTCCATCACCGGCAATCCACCCCGTTTCATTCTCCACCGGGGGGTTAATTCTTTGCGACTAGCGTCATTGACAGTCCTGTCTAGCTGGACCAGTAGAGTCCTCGTCATGATCAGAGCGGTGCTCTTGCCATCCTTTGCATCGGCTTGTCGTCTTCAACTACAAGTTCATGCCTTAGTCCATCAATCAAGAAAGTCAAATAATCGCCACAGTCACAGCGGTTGAAGCGGCACCAATCTTTGTCCGCCTCACCGATCTCTGTGCCGCACCCGCCGTCGGAGCTCCTCTACTCGCCGTTCCTCTGCAACTGTCTTGTCATGAAAGGTGAAATAGGAAGAAGAAGCACAGAAGCGGCGGGAGGAGGGAGAGAGGTCAAAGGGTTTCTTAATTTTATGGGCCCGCTTATGGATATTGGGCCATTTAATTGCATTTGTTTTGGGCCAACAGATGCTAAAAAAAAAAAGGCCACGGTGGAGTGGTAGTTACTTCGAACGGGGAACTAAGCCCTTATGGGCTCCCACACCTTTTGGTAAGAGTTTATTAATGGACTCTCCAATTAGTTTTTTGGGTAGCTAATTCATTTTGCAGGCTTTACCCATCAACATATAGTCACGTATCGATTGAGGCATTCACGGTCCATAAAATGGTCGTCCCCTGGCGTTCAAAAGGTAGTACGATAAGAGAAGTCATCGTCCCTTCATCGTCCAGTTGGCTTTCACGATCCAAGAAATGGTCGTCCCCTCTTCCGGTTCATTATTGGGCACATATCAACCATTCATCACTTTTCAAGCCGGGCATTCACGATGTTCATGCTCCAGCTTGAGGGGGAGAATAGGAGGTCAACATACGTCGGTCGACTACCTCAGTCATCAGGTCGACCGCGATGTACCAGGTGTGTTCAAGTTCAAGAGACGCAGTCAATCGTCTCCATCATCAGGTTGTTCAGAGAGAGTCAGTCGTCTCCAATCAACCTCGTCCGAGATATTATTCATCTCGAGTTTTGTGGTTCAAGCCATCATGCTTGTTCTTCACATTTACTTCTTCAAGCTCGACATTCTTGTCATTCATGTCTTTGCTTGAGGGGGAGTGTTGCGGTTACTTAAACCGTGTTAGTATTGGGCCTTGTTGGGCCTTGTCCGAGTTGTAGTAGGTACGGATATGTAGCCGTACTCGACTCTTCTCATTAGGGTTTTATCCCTAGTCTATCTCTATATAAGCTTAGCTACGAGATTGTCGTAAGCAAGCCGTCAAGATGTAATCCTAATAAGAGATCAGCCGTGAGCTCTTATGAGCTCACCGTGGATTAGTCTCGATCAATCAATCGATCGAGGATACCACGTAAAACTTTTGTGTTCTGTGTTCGTTTCAATTCCGCGTTATCAAATTCTACAGAGGTCCCTTCCATATAAGCTTATATCAGCTTACTTTACTGTGCCTTGTCCTAACAGATTCCCAGATCAACTTTATGGAGTTTCTCATCATTGGTTTATCATCCCAGTTCAGCACTTCGTCTTTCCAGCAAAATAGGTTAGGAAGCTTATTTCTAACTCTCAGCAACTCCCCCAGTTCCATGAGCCACTAACATTCACATTCCAAAAATCTCTACCTTTCAATTTGTAGGCCTGGATCCAAGCAACCCACAGTGAGCCTTGCTGCATCATAACCACCCATATCTGCCTGTAGACACATGCATAATTCCAGGAAACAAGATCCCTCAAACCCTGTCCTCCTTCTTTTTTTGGGATGGCCAGATACTTCCATGCCATCATAGCTTTAAGCTTGAGACCAGGACCAACAGACCAGAGAAAATTACTACAAATTCTCTCAACCTCACGAATAACAGCCTTTGGGAGCATAAAAACACTCATCCAGTATTGTGACATGCTGTATAGAACAGACCCTACAAGCTCCACTCTACCTGCATAGCTCAAGGATTTAGCCTTCCGGCCCTGCACCCTACTAGTGAAAGGTTTGCAAGCATTTATTGTAAGCTTTCCAGCCACCAGAGGAACCCCAAGATAGCGCACTGGGAAACCCCCTGGCTGGTACCCATACCTTTGAGCTCTTTCTACCATCTCCTCCTTCTCCAACCCTCCAAAAAATATTTCACACTTGCTAGGGTTAGATTGAAGCCCTGAGAGCTTGTGAAACACACTCAGAACCCTTTGTACACTCTGAATTCCATAATTAGACCCATCAGAAAAAACCAACAGATCGCCAGCAAAGCATAAATGAGTCAGGCCAATTCTCTTACACATAGGGTGATAGGGAAACCTGCCCCTTTCAGCTTCCAAATCCAAGAGACAAGAAAATACCTCCATAGCTACAACAAACGAGTATGGGGAGAGGGGGTCCCCCTGCCTAAGACCTTGCTTAGCAGGAAAGTAACCCACTAGACCCCATTAAAAGCAATACTAAGCATTGGACTAGATACACACATCCTGATCCAACTGATAAACTGTATAGGCACTCCCATAGCTTCCAATACCACACAAAGTAACTGCCAGCTTACTGAGTCAAATGCTTTCATAATGTCAATTTTAAGAGCTGATCTAGAAGAGATATTCTTCTTAGAATACTTATGCACTAACTCATGAGCTAAGAGGATGTTTTCTCCAATTACCCTCCCCTTAACAAACACTGTATGATTCTTACTAATAACAAAAGGGAGAAGGGAGCTAAACCTATTGGCCACAATCTTATAGATGCATTTATAATGAGTTATGACAATTTTTTTTTCGTTGAATTTATGACAACTTTTCATATTCAATAAAGTTTGTGTAAAATACATTTATCATTTATGTTAGAGTCTCACCTCTTTTGAGGAATGCAACAAAGTAATTACTAAGAAATTGTTTACCTCAAACAATTCTATAAACGGTTGTTGATGAAATTCATAATTAAAATAATAGTTGTAGAACTTGTGATTGCAACCAATAAGGTCAATACTAACTTCAACAAACGAGTTAATAAAAAGAGAATAAGTAACATTTCCTGTTTCCACCATTCACCTAGCTAGCTCATCAACTTCCTCCAATTCTTTGAACATCTCATCATGCTAAACATGATAGTAACCCATCACTCGTTGACCAAATCGATGTAAGTAACTCAATAGATAAAACTTAATATAGATTTAATTAGAATTAAAAAATTAAAAAACTTACAAAAAGTATATATATTCGTAGTGGATTCGTAACAGTATTTTGCTCGTAATTCAAAGCACTACATATAAGCAAAATTTTGAGATATTTCTAGAAGGCATGCCAGTCATCATCAACTTAGTGTTTGCTAAATCATATCCACAGCCCTATTAAAATAAATTGTCTATTAAAATCATAACTCAAAACACAATACAAAGAATAGAATATTTATGAAAAACTAAGAATAGAATCTAACATCTATCTAACAATACATTTATGGAGATTCTCCTTCAGCAACCCCTTAATTCAACTTTTCCTCGCTTCCGCGCATAATACCGAGGGACTTTTGGTGATTTCCTATTTATTCTTATGGGTCTTAATCCCTTAGAGCACGGAAGTATTTTAATCTATATGGGCCTCCAGTTTATAGCTACTTATTTTCAACTTCTTAACTAACCAATTGATATCAGCTTCTTAACTAACCAATTGATATCTGACTAATAATTATGTTTTGTATGGGCTTTGATTGTGATGTTATTAAGAACATGGAAATATATCAGGTCCGATTCAATATAATTTATGTTCATGCGATTTACAGTATCAAATATTATATTACACACATGCCTAACTCTTATTAGGCATTTAGTCCATTATACGAGATACTTGCGAAGTGCAAGGTGAAAAAAACCCAATTTTTTAAAAAATCTGGTTGGATGTTCAACCGGAAAAGTTAGTGATTAATGATTCAACAATTAATTGTTATAGAACCATTGTTAATTGTTGATAGAACCGTTCATGCGCTATAATATAAAGACATATTTATACCCTAATTTAGGAGTGAATTTATCACTGACCCATAAACATTTCAAATCCATATCATCCTATCACCAAAAGGTTCTAACAAAGCATTCAAACTATCTCATAAAAGAAATCATAATTTTTTTATTAAATTTAAGGCAATAATAAGAGTGAAAATCCGTAGAGAACCAGATAAATTCGACAAGAAGGTTGAAAAATGAATAAATGAAGCATAAATAAAATTAGTGATTGAGGTTTGATGGTTTTGGTTTACGTTAACGTATTTTTCCTTTATTTTTTATGATTAAAATAGTGAACCGTGGATTAGTTAAACCGCGGTGGTTCATCTGGTTTCATGTCAAACTGATAAAAATCATTTTGTTCATTTCTAGATGTCTAATAAAATGAACCAAACCACTATTGTAACTGATTTAGTGATTCTACTGACCCAATCGTTGATCCGGTTTGGCGCTTATACGACAAAAACTAATAAAATAATATTTGAAGTCTACAATAATTGAATATGACAAAATTTAAAAATTTAGAGAGCTTCACTCAACATTTCATTTCAAAATTTATACTACACACAAATAGTGGAATTACTTAATTGAATATGAATATAAAAAATGGCATTACCTGGCAATTGCATTCCTGCTACACCTACGTAAATTTGCAATTAAGTAGCCACAATTGCTACGGACAATAGTGCAGAGAAGGCTAGCCACAATTGCTATGTAACTTCAAGTTGTGGACAAAACCACTGAGGCTAACTTTGTTGTTTTGGATCGAGTGGAGATGTATTTTCGAATATCGGCTTCAAAGCTATTCTAAGGCAACAATAGAATAAGAAGATTAACACCTGCTACAAATTGAGGGAATGATACTGAAGTTTGATATCAAGCTCACATATTACATTACTAATCAACAAGTGAGTACACAATTTCCAGGATAGGGGAGGACGAGAAGACCAAAACTCATACGATCTCTTGACTCGATCGAGGTAAATTATACTTGCATGAAAATGATGATCATTACTAATAAAAAAAATTATATTCTCTATTGGATTTGGAGTATATTCGGAAAGCGCACCCTCTGATTATTATTTAAGTAACCTGCATTCCATGTCTACTTCTCACATGTTGATTTTCCAATGCAATTAATTGCATCTATTGTCCAGTAAATAAATTGTTATCAATTGTATAATGGATATTGTCCGTAACTTGGATGAGGTAAATTCTACTCTAATGAAAACAAGGAAGAGATTATTGAAATGCAAGAGAAAAAAGAAGAGGAATTGAAAATGGAGATAAATATATCACTTACAGAGATTGAAGACATTAACATTGGTTTAGATAATGATGGAGGAAGTGCAAATAAGTCAAAACGAAAATGTGCATTAATCTCTAGAGATGAGTAAATATAATGGTGATTTTAAAATGTTTTAGGAGTCAGTTTGGGTTTGTCTTTCATTTTCGTAAAATGATTTTAATCAATGAGTCAGTTACAATGTCATTAAACCTTATGATATTGACCATTTTCAATTGTTGAAATACTCTAATAATATGGATTCTTTTATTCTACAAATCAATTTGAATGTTTCGAGTACTTGAGTAATTTAGATTTTTTTATACTATAAAAACCAGTGTATGTCACATACAATTTGATAATGTTGTTTATGTAATTGGCTGCTAAATCCGGACAAATGGCCGGGCGCGTGACTCGTTTTACCTATACGAAATATCCTAACATTTACAATATTTGGTTCAAAATCCCGAAGCAGACGAAACCAGGACGAAACCAGGGCTTTCCACTAATTTTCTGGGCCAAGTTTTGCAGGTCAAGACACCTCGGGCCTATTTTGTGGACCCACTAGGTGCTATGAATACTTATTCGTTGGCCCTCACTAATGGCTACCATTAGGTCATATAGGTAGCCCAAGTGCCTAGTATTAATTCATCACTTGCTTTGAGCCTGGCAGTACTCATGTACCATGGTCTCACAAGTAGTAATGGCAATGCGGCAGATCAGGGTGGGTATTTCAATATCCATGCTTTGTCCCATGCTACTACGGGTCGGGCCAGGTAAAACTTGCACTAATACGAGACGAGTGGGTAACTCACTCTTATATGTTATTTGAAAAAGTTACACGCAAATTTTACTTTTTACGATAAATGAAGGGGAAAACACTTTATGAATGAAAAATAGTGATAATAGAATGAGTAATTTAGTTGACAAGTTGAAATATCAACTCTAACTAGTTGAGAAAAAGTCACATTAGGAGAAATATGTATAGCTACTGTAAGAAATTGAGATAAAACGAGCCAAGAACAAGGCGGGGCAGGTTGTTTTGGCGAATCATGATGTTACAAAATCAATTTTAATGTTTCTGGTATGATTAATATGAATGATTTTCGATCTTTAAATAAAATGACGTTGTTTTGGTGAATTCAATTAAAAAAATATTGATTTGTTTACTGAATTTGGAAGTTAAATATTGATATTATTTGTTGAATTCAAGTATGAATATTTAGATACTTATGTTATTTATTGGATTCAAATACAAAATTTTTCTAAGAGAAATTTAGATTGTTGTATTATTTTCCCTCGGTATGACTCTAGTTCTGAAAATATTGAAGTACCACAACTCCCACACATGGTCCATCAAACCGTACTGTATCGGCGGTTCAACCACAAAATATCAGTAACAGATAGGCAGTATTTAACGATACTAACGGTTGAACTAAGATTAAACCACGATTTTGATATAAAATACTATACCGCTGGCTTTTCCGGTACGGTTTCATGAACCATGCTTCCACATGATTTTCTATGAGATCCCAGTGAGTATGTAAAACTCAACTGAAAATTCATCTGGCATACGGACTTTGTTATGAAAATTTAGAATTTACCATCCACTTCATTATTTCATCTTCCCCTTACTATGAGTTTTTTTAGCTTATAAAGGGCCAATTTGTGTAAACTCTCAATATATGTTTCATATATCACCATTATATTAAAAAAAATAAAACTATCGATTTGTGATGAACTTAACATAATAAAGAAAAACTGGAAACTCAATCCTAAACTAATCAACAAATGATACGGAAAAGAAATAAGGTGCATAAATAAATAGGAAGTTGTTGTGTTGTGTGGTTCCCAAATCCCGGAGGTGGATCGAGAGAGAGGCAGGCGAACAACCATGGCTGCTCCAAATCCAAAAAAGCAAAAAACGACGACGGCGGATGAGGTGGGTTGGGAAAGCCTTCCGCACGATCTCCTAATCGCAGTAGCCACAAGATTGAGAAATCTGTCGACGAACATTCGTTTCACAGGCGTGTGCCGTTCGTGGAGAGTCGCGGGCTTACCGGACCGCCGGCGCTTGATCGGGCGACAAATTCCGGGCCTCCTTCTCCCTCGGTCCGATAACAGCCTCGGCGGCACACGCGAGTTTATTCAGGTGACAGCAATCGTCAATAAGAAGAAGAAGAAGAAGACGAAGCGGCGGAAGGTTGTTCCGTGTCGCTTGAGGGATTGTTGGAGCCTCTGCAGCGGGTCGGTGAGAGGATGGATTCTTCTCCTGGACAGCGACCTGAGGTTGGTGCTGGCGAACCCTGCGACTGGTTCACAAGTTGCTCTCCCCGGAGGCGTCGGTACTGGTCGGAGAATCAAGTCTGGAGATTTCCCAAAGTGGGGATTCTGGCATTCCAGGAGGGTCACAATCTGGGCTCCCTCTGCTAAGGTTTCGGATTGGTTTGTGTTCGTGATGTTGCCCGGACCCCATTGGAAAACTTACATCAAGTATTGCAGGGTGGGAGCTGGGAGAGGCTGGGCGGTTATGGAGTTTCCAGGGTGCCGATCCGGGGTTGGTTTCATTGTGGATGCACTCTGCAGCAGTCTGGAAGCAGGGTATCTCTACGTGCTGATCAGTACAGGGGAGCTCTTCCGCTGCAATTTCGCTGCCAAGGTGGCCGCGACGACGACGACGACAAGGGTGGTGGAAAGCTCTCAACCGCTGGCCGATCCTTTCAAGTCAGGCCCAGAATTCAACTACCTCGTTGAAGTTGAGGGCCAAATTCTGGTGCTCCATCGGAACAGAGAAAGTCAGGGCAGTGCAGAGGTGTACTGCAGGACTCGCGGGTTTGATGTGTACGGGCTCGACGGGGAGGGAAAGCGGTGGGTGGAGATCAAAGAGATTGGCGTCCGAGGAGATTTTGCTGTCTTCTTAGGGTTTGGGCAGCCGTTTTCGATTCCAGCAGATGCAGAGTCGGGGATCCGAGGGAATTGCATCTACGTCTTGGAAGTGGAACAATATGGTTGCAGAGAGCGGTGCTGCATTGGTGTGTTCGATCTCAAGACCTCCAACCTGGACTTCTTCCTCGCTCCTTCTGCCTTTGAGGAGCCATATCCCGGGATTCCGGTCCGGCTCCCCATACCCTTAGCTCCAGTGCCATGGTGAACCAGATGGATCAGCTTTATGATTATTTTTATTTTTTGTAGGATCATTTGATTTGATTGCATAGATAGTGTGAACATTTGGGCTTTCAACCCCAGACACATACATGTCCATTCCTAAATTATTATTATTATTATTATTATTATTATTATTATTATTATTATTATTATCTCTTTAAAAGAACAAACTACATGTTACTATTTGGTAGAGTCACGTCAAATAAGATTATTTTATTGTTAAACATTTTATTAATTAATCAAATGTTTTAAATATTTTCTCTTATGAATGAATCACGTCAAATAAGATTATTTTATTGTTAAACATTTTATTAATTAATCAAATGTTTTAAATATTTTCTCTTATGACAAATGAAACCAAATTCATTTGTGTTCAAACTAATTCGACTCGGTATCGGTGTTGTCGAATTTTAGGCTGGGGACTAATTTTACCCGTTTTTTTAATCAACGAATTGCCACAAATTCATGTGTGTTCGAACTAATTCGATTCGGTATCAGTGTTGTCGAATTTTATGTCGGGAACGAATTTTACACGTTTTTGTAATCAACGAATTGACACAAATTCATGTGTGTTCGACCTAATTCAACCCAGTCCGGAGTTGCCGAATTTCAGGTCAAGAATGAATTTTACCCGCTTTTGCAATTAACGTATTGGGTCGGTGTGGATTTTGTTTAAAAATCACCCCGCTTTATCAAGCCGATCAAAGCGAGTTGAATGCACTGTTTGCGAATTTTTTTTTCAGGTGTGACTTTTTAAAAACCTAAGCCCATGAAATTTATATCAGAATCTCGATAAAAAAAATTATATCAGAATCCAGCATCCAAGCCACCTGTATACGTGGAAGCATCGCAATGAATGTCCGGCCAGTTGCTTGATCTGGATTCTGGACTCTGGAATCAATCCTTCAGTCGAATGAAACGAGATACCCAAATCAAGCAACAACAAAAAAATTTCCTCGTCCCTCACTGATACTTACGTTATCGTAAATAGAAGTAGTCAGACATGAAGAAACGAAGAAGGATAACTTTAATCACTTGCAGAAATGAAACCCTTTCTCCTCTTCATCTCCCTCCCTCTTACTTCCACATTCTTCTCCTTCTCTCAGGAAGCCTCAACAGCTCCAGAGAAAAGTGACTTGCAAACTTACATTGTGTTTCTAGACAAGCCAGAAGGTCGAACGTTATCCACAGAAGGATCAGATGATGATTTACGCAGCTGGTACACCACATTTCTCCCTGAAACCACCTTAGCCACAAACCAGCAAGAGCGTATGGTGCATTCCTACCGCAATGTGGTCACAGGATTTGCTACTAAGCTCACACCACAGGAGGCTAAAGCCATGGAAGACAAGGAAGGCTTTGTCTCGGCCAGAGTCGAGCAATCTTTGTCCCTACTCACAACTCACACTCCCAAGTTTCTTGGTCTCCAGCAGCAGCAGGTAACAACAAAGTTGAATTGGGGGAATTGAAACCCTAGAAGGCTTGGGTGTTTCTCGCTCATACTTAGGTTTAAATAGACTAAAGCTTTGCACAAGACAATATGTGCAAGCTAACATTTGGAGACTACAAAGATAAACAAACTAAAGTCTAAACAAACATTGACATTAAACTAAACTTGATGATGATGATTTTCTCTAAACCTTGTCGATCTACTTTGACATTCATGGTCGTCGGTTTGAGTCTTGACAATCTTTCAATATCTCCTGTTAGCAGGATCTAGGAGCCTGGAACTTGTCGAATGTCGGTGGAGGAGTGATCATTGGTCTCATAGACAGTGGGATCAAGCACGATCACCCTTCTTTCTCCGATGAAGGCATGCCTCCCCCGCCATCCAAATGGAAAGGCAAGTGCGAGTTCAACGGCAAACAAACATGTAACAACAAACTACTCGGTTCAATAAGCTTCCCCTCTGGAGGGGAGACTAATACTACCCCGTCGGAGGATGTCGATTTCTACCATGGTAGTCATACGGCAAGGGAAGCTGCAGGGATCCTTGTTCAAGGCGCAAATGTGTTTGGACAAGCAAATGGGAATCGCTCCCAAAGCCCACCCGGCAATGTACAAGATATGCCTATCAGATGAATGTTCCGAGAGCGGGCTACTGGCAGCCATAGATGCTGCTATTGAAGATGGTGTAGATGTGCTTTCGTTGTCGATTAGTGATAGATCAAGTCCTTTCTATGACAATGCGATTGCCTTGGGCACATTTAGAGCCATTCAGAGTGGTATCTTCGTGAGCTGCTCCGCTGGAAACAGTGGACCCTCAAAGTCTTCTTTGGTCAATGATGCACCATGGATTTTGACCATTGGAGTGAGCACAATCGACAGGGAGATAAGAGCAACTGTGGTGCTAGGAAACAATATGAAGCTCCATGGCCAATCCGCCTATCAGCCAAATGATTTCAATTCACGACAATTGTCAATCATCGATCCTGCAACAACTGGGATAAATGCATCAACAACATTTTGTGAAGCAGGAGCATTGAAGAACATTGATGTTAAGGGCAAGATAGTCATATGCGAGATTGGAGGTGAAGTTACAAGAATCAAGAAGGGACAAGAAGTGAAGGATAATGGTGGAGCAACCATGATCTTAATCAATAGTTTGGCTGATGGGTATACTACTTTTGCTGATGCCCATCATCTCCCAAGTTTATGTTCTTGTAAAAAGAAAAAATAATTATACAAAGAAAAAAAAATGAATTTAACTAAAAAAAGGAATCGTAATAAAAAATGTTTGGCTTTTTTGAGAACTTTTTGAATTACTACATTAAATTTTGACTCAAAAAGTTCTCACCAGTTTGTTTGAGGCTTCTTCTATTTCGATTATTTCTATTTCGAATATGTTGTTCTATGGGTGGATTTGGCAGAGCACCCTTTCTTCAATTCAATTAGATGTTAATGTAAATGAACCATAACTATGAAGTCCTATTCCTAATAAATTAACCCCAAAATAACATATCCAAATTAGAACATCGCACATCAGTTATCAGGATGGATTAGCAGTGAAGGGTTACTTGAAATCCACAGAGTCCCCAACTGCCACAATCTCATTTCAAGGTACCTTGATTGGCAAGTCAAGTGCACCACAAGTAGCCTCGTTCTCATCGAGAGGGCCTAGCTCGCAATCTCCAGGGATCTTGAAGCCTGACATCATTGGACCAGGGGTGAACATTTAGGGTGCTTGTGGAGTCTCTGTTGACAATGCTACTAACTCATTCAATATTGTGTCGGGAACTTCAATGTCATGCCCACATCTCAGTGGGGTTGCAGCTCTAATCAAGAGTGCTCATCCAGATTGGTCCCCAGCATCGGTAAAATCAACCATTTTAACCACCGCTTACACGCTCAATCGCGGTGGTAATGCAATCTCCACGGAGCAAAACACTTCTGCTACCTTGTTTGATATGGGTTCCGGCCATGTCAACCCACCATTGGCGTTGAATCCAGGATTGGTATATGACATCCATCCAGATGACTACATTCCTTACCTCTGTGGGTTGGGTTATAATGATAAAGAGGTAAGATTGATTGTGCAACGAAAGGTGAATTGCTCGAATGTATCTTCCATATCCGAGGCTCAGTTGAACTATCCAACGTTTTCCATCTCTTTGGGTTCTGGTGATCACAAGACTTACACAAGAACATTTACTAATGTTGGCCTGCCTAACTCAACTTACACCTGCAAGGCCTTATCTCGCGAAGGCGTTGAGGTTAAAGTCATGCCTAATGAGATCAAGTTTATGGAATTGGGAGAGAAAGCGAGTTATTCTATGACATTTAGCATATTGGGAAATGTCACAATAAGTAGTATAGGTGAATGTTACTTGGTGTGGTCGTCAGCTGATTCTGAATATGACGTTGTGAGTGCTATAGCAATTGTCTTTGTTTGAGAGAAGTTATTGAATGCCGCTTGAATTCCTCCCAAATCATAATGGCATGCCAATAGGAGGGGAACCTCATAGTATATGATGTATTGTTGCAAACTGTTCGAGTCACTTTTGTGTTTGGAATAGTCGTTTTAATGTAGCTACCATAAGTAGGATGATGGTTGACAAGCACCATGGTAGGTACTGGTTTTGTGCCTACCCAATGAGTGGTGCGCTTTATTTGTATCTGTTTTTATTTTATTATTGATCATTGTTTTTCAACGATGTCATATTTTTCATTATAAAAAAAACGATGTCATCCTTGTCTTGCTTACCATGCCAACTCGAGTTGAACACAATCTTCAATTTGGAGTGGACTAGCAAATACGCTTTGGTTTCTGGGTAGATCAGGTATCCAAGCTTGGTTTTCCACCTCTCTTGCTTGCTCCAACTAAGTTATCCGTAGGGAATGTGATTGCTAAAATTAGCTTATGGTTCAAATAATTGGAGCCCATCAATTCATTCCTAATTCAATCATTGATCACCAAACTTTTTGATACCAACGGGCACTTTATGGTTTACGGAAAAAGAGAAGTACAAAAGGAAATAAAATTGGAGACAAGATAGTAACCCGACCCGTTAGTCGGTTGCGATACGATCACAGTAATTAACAAAAATTCAAATTTAAATTATTTGGAAAATAGAAAATTAGCATGCATCATAAACTTAACGTTGTCATTGGTGCCTTCTATGCACATTCTTGTCGAAATTAAAAAGATATGACTTATACAAGGGTATATCAACGCATTATAAACTTAATGACACAATATTATAGATATTTCAAAATGACCAATATCAGTACCCCTTTACTATCAAGAATATACATCATCAACTTCACTATCTCCATTATCAACATTCATTTTTCACATTTTTTGTGAAGCAAATTCAAAAAATAAAACACAATCATATATGAAATAACATTTTCATGGCAAAACAGTTTACCTCATCCTAATCATAAATGTTTGTTTACCTCATCCTAATCACAAATGTTGTTGGAGATTTTTTTTTTGCCATCATTTATAATCTTCAAAACTATTAATTCGGTTATGAAATTTGTGATGTTATGATAAGTTAATCACTAAACTTAATATAAACTTCAACTACATTCTTTTTTGGGTAAATACTCCATACCTTCATTTAATAATGCACCTTGAGTGAAATTCAATCATGTATATCAAATTTAGGTTACATCAAGGTAGCTCTAATTTACTTTTTTTTAAGTATCTTTAATTGAAGAGAATAGTTTTTTCACTGGCAACGCTAACTAATCGCCAATAAATGAACATTAACAACTCAAGTACTACTACACTAATAAAGTAAGAAATGTTTATGTGACTTGAGGTTAAGAGATAGAGAAGAATGAAATGACTTTGATGAACATAGCATCAATAGCTCAGCAAGAATCTTGTTGAATTGAGTAATAGTTCTTTTTCATAAAGTTGTCTTCAAAACACATTTTCTATACTTGAACTAAAACTTCGAACTTTAGTAGATCATGCAAATTAAAAATCAAAAGTTATACATGTAAGTTGGTATTGCCACGATGTACATAGATGATCTGAATTCATTGAACAATATTTGTTTTACAGAAATCAACTTGTAATTGCTTTTTGCCATAATTAAAGTTCAGATCAATATCTTTTTAGCACATGCAGACACGCTAAACATATTCCTTTACCTATGAATAAAAATCGATCATATTCTTGAATTGTTAAGTTAAAAACCATATGTAACTTCTTTTTTATACGACATAACTGAATGCATGTCGAAGGACCCCAAAATAGTTAGTAGAAATTTGATTAATATCCATCTAGTACATATATTCTATTAAATGCACTTAAAATTTTCATTTACGTACTATTATTACGTTACCTCCTTATTTTTTGTTTGTTTAATAGTTCAAGTATTAAACACCTATAATATGTTTACTACACATATTTTAAGGAATTAGACTGCTAGTTTGTTAATTTACATTTGTATTTATTTGTGCATTATAAATTTCTAAATTTTCATTATTGATACCAAATTTTTAGCCATTGTGATTGTTTAGAGGAACGTATAAAATTTCGTACATATTAATACCGCAACACACCAATAACTTTTTTATTAACAAAGCGCCAAACTTATCAGAATTCATTAATAAAAACATGGCTAGTGGCTACCATATATGTGTTGAAGGATTAATTAAAGGCCCGTAAAATTGCAACAGAGTTCCAACTTCCAACGGAAAGGCTGAATGTATTGGGTGTTCTCAAAACCCAATACATTGAAACTTAAATGACCAAATGATCCCTCCGTACTCTGCAGGAGGCAGCAAAAGTGAAACTAAACGAGTTATTAAGGAGAACCTCCATATATTGATTGTTTGATTTGATGGATTATACTGAAAACAACATCACCATAATATTGCCCCATCCTAAACATGTCAAAATTGAACTACTTTTAATTATTGAAGTTGACTATGACCTGTTACATTGAGTTTTCAATAAATCCAAAGTTTATCACTAGGGAAAAGAACGAACGGAGAGATTTGTGTTAGGGACAATACACACAGTACAACAAGACAACTCATTTCCATTTCTCTACTCTTTACAAGAAACGAAATTCTCAGAACAAGAATTACAAATGTAGGAATTTATATACTTGGTACAATGTTAGATGAAACACCAAAACTACTAGTCGGAAATAAAAATTTAGGTCCTAAAAACAAGCATGTGGAACATTTCTGACGGAATAGATTGAGGTTTTTGTGCAATTACAGGCTTGAGTACTGTTACCCTTTTAGAAACACAAAAAGGTAAGCACATGTTATATTTTTTGTACCACTATGATATTTGTTTTAGAACCATCATGGATTCATGATATTCAATGAATACTACCCCATGGTAAAATTTCTATACAATTATATTACAAATTATGTACCTATATAAAAGTAGTCTTGATTAAATATCGAAAAATAACCTCGACTAACGTATTCTGTTATTTTAAAATATGCAAACGTGTTATCTTTTAAATCATATCATATTTGTGTATTTATTTTAAATTCGAGTCAAAACGAATGAATTATGTTTCATTGAAAGCTAATTCTATTATGGGGAAAAAATAACGATTTGCATCAGAGATGTTAGATAATGATGCATAAGTATGGATTGCTTGGCATGGAAATATATACCATATTCCTATACTTCTTTAGTTCTTTGGAACATATTGTTGGATTAAGCAAACGAATGCCACCATTCCATCCGGCAAACACAGAGACGAATGCAACAGACCAAAATAAGATGAGGATTTTCAGTTTCTCAAACGTAGTTTCTTATGCAAAACAGAACTTTGGAACTCATAATTAATTCATTTTTCTAAAACGTGTTTTTCTTGGGCCGGCGGCCATCCTAACCTCTATATATTGGATGACAATTTTTCAAGTTTCAGTATCAGCAACCTCAAAATGAACGCCTTTCTCCTGATCTCCCTCGCTCTAACTTCCACATTCTTCTCCTTCTCCCAGGAAGCCTCATCAGCTTCAGGGGAAAGTGACTTGCAAGCCTACATTGTGTTTGTAGACGAGCCAGCAGAAGTCCTAACGTTCTCCACAGAGTCAAATGATGATTTGCTTCGCTGGTACACCTCATTCCTTCCCACAACCACTCTAAGCTCAAACAACCAACAAGAACGAATGGTCCATTCCTACCGCAAAGTCGCAACAGGCTTCGCAGCTAAGCTCACACTGCAGGAAGCTAAAGCGATGGAAGGGAAGGAAGGCTTCATCTCGGCCAGAGTCGAGCGATCTGTGCCCCTACACACAACTCACTCTCCCAACTTTCTTGGTCTACAGCAGAATTTAGCAGAATCTGATTGGAACTCCTCGAATTTGGGCCAAGGACTGATCATTGGTCTAATTGACAGTGGAATCAAGCAAGATCACGCTTCTTTCTCCGACGAAGGCATGCCTCCCCCACCTGCCAAATGGAGAGGCAAGTGCGAGTTCAACGGTAAACGAACATGTAACAACAAGCTCATTGGTGCTAGAAGTTTCCCTGCCTCCTTAGGCGATCTCCCGTCGGAAGATGAATACCACGGCAGTCATACTGCAGGGAGCCCTGTTCAAGGTGCCAATGTGCTTGGACAAGCAAATGGGACTGCGATGGGGATCGCACCGAAAGCCCATTTGGCAATGTACAAGGTATGTGGAATGAGCGACTGCCCCGAGAGCGGGTTATTGGCAGCAATTGATGCTGCTGTTGAGGATGGTGTTGATGTGCTTTCGATGTCGCTTGGTGTCAGAACGGATAATTTCTATAACGACGTGATTGCGGTGGGTGCATTTAGAGCCATTCAGAACGGCATCTTTCTGAGCTGCTCAGCTGGAAATGCTGGACCATCCAAGTCTTCTTTGAATAATGAGGCGCCATGGATTTTGACCGTTGGAGCGAGCACGATCGACAGGGAGATCAGAGCAAATGTGGTGCTAGGAAACAATGTGGAGCTCCATGGGGAATCCCTCTACCAGCCAGAGGGTTTTGATTCGCGACAATTGCCAATCATTGAACCTTCTGCAACTGGGGGAAATGCACCTGCAGTATTTTGTGTAGCAGGGTCATTGAAGAACATTGACGTTAAGGGCAAGATAGTCGTATGCCAGGCAGGCAGAGTTGATCCAACCGCGAAGGGACGAGAAGTGAAGGATAATGGTGGAGCAGGCATGATCTTTATGAATGATTTGGCGGGTGGAGACACTATTTTTCCAAATGCTCATGTTCTCCCTGCGTCGCAGCTTAGTTATCGGTATGGATTAATAGTGATGAGTTACTTGAACTCCACACAATCTCCAACCGCATCAATCTCATTCCAAGGTACCTTGATTGGCAAGAAAAGTGCGCCACAAGTTGCCTCATTCTCTTCCCGTGGGCCTAGTCTGAACTCTCCAGGGATCCTAAAGCCAGACATCATTGGACCCGGGGTCAACGTTTTGGCTGCTTGGCCAGTCCCGGTTGACAATGCTACCAACTCATTCAATATGATTTCAGGAACTTCAATGTCATGCCCGCACCTTAGCGGAGTCGCAACTCTGGTCAAGAGTGCTCATCCAAATTGGTCCCCGGCAGCCATAAAGTCGGCCATTTTAACCACGGCTTACAAGTACGATCGTGGTGGCAGGTCAATTTCCACCGAGCAGAATGTTTCTGCTTCTGTTTTCGATATGGGTTCTGGCCACGTGAATCTGTCAATGGCCTTGAGTCCAGGCTTGGTATATGACATCCAGCCAGATGATTACATTCCTTATCTGTGTGGATTGGGTTATGGAGACACCGAGATAAGATTGATCACGCAACGAAAGGTGAATTGCTCGAATGTATCTTCCATTCCCGAGGCCCAACTCAATTACCCAACATTTTCCATCTCATTAGACTCCGACGATCAGAAGACTTACACAAGAACAGTTACTAATGTTGGCCTTCCCAACTCTAGTTACACATGCAAGACTTTATCTCCAGAAGGCGTTGATGTTAAAGTCATGCCCGACAAGATCGAGTTCAAGGACTTGAACGAGAAAGCGAGTTATTCCGTGACATTTACTAAGTTGGGGAATGTGACGATTACTAAGGCTAGTGAAGGCCACTTGATCTGGTCATCTGCTGATGGAAAATCTAAGGTCCTCAGCGCTATTGTCGTTGACTTTGTTTGACGTAATTAATACTTAATTTACTGTTGCAATTGTGGCTTTTTCTTGTATCTTTGTGTTTTTGCCTTTTTGGAATATTTGATTGGCTACAATGTAGTTTAAGTGTATGGCTATGTTGCTTAATTTTAGTAAACCAATAAATGGGTTAGTCGACCGTTGCTACGTTCAATACCATCATGATCTGTGGTTTGATTTGGTTTTGTAAAAATATTTAAAATTCGTGTTAAAATATATGAGATATGAATATAATTATATAAAAATTAATGAGAATAATTATATATAATGAGCAACTTTTAGGTTATGCAGTTACGTTGATGGTGCTATTGACAAACAACAAAAAGCCATAGGTGATTTTGCCCATTGAGAGCCTTGTAATTTGTCATTTTATAACAAGGGTGTAACTTCGTGTCTAGTTCAATTGAAGATTATAAGCTTATAGAATTGAAAGGTCATCAAGTTTCAAAAGTTTCTAATTTTTTCTAATTTTGTCTATTTGGTTTAATATTTAATATCTTAATTTTGACTCAAAATTTATACAAAAATATAAGTTTGGCCCAGATTTTTTTAATTTGAAAATATACGAATTTTCAAAATAATGCTTCATGTGACATTCATAAAGTATTTGCCGTCTTTACCTCTGAATCTGATTGTACCCAAGTCTTCCAGTACTGCAATTATTGTTATGGGGATTTCTCTCCATGGACAGAGTAGAAAATGGCCATTGTACAAAACAATGACACAATTACGAGAGGGATAATGGGTGATATAGATAGATTGAAAAAAGAAAAGAAGACCTGATCTGCTTGAATTATTTATGAGTTTTGGTGATAATAACAATGTCTTTTTTCTTTGTCAAATATGAAATATCCCTTTTCCACTTCGAGAAATTTGGGGCCAACGTTAAACTTATTTTTCAATTTCTTTTAAAGATGACTGCTGTTCAGAAGATTTTAAGTTAGAGTTCCATAAAAAAAAAAAGATTTTAAGTTAGAGTCTGCCAATCCATTTGAGTTTTCAACACGGTTTCTAATTTAAATCTAAAGATAGATGCATGTAGTTTGTTGCATATGTTTTGATAAATCCAAATTTTTAATTAATGTTTATGAATAAATTGATTTTAGTGAATATGATTTAAAGAATTAGGACCTAAATTGTGCGTGATATTAAGCGTTATAGTATAGTAACATGTCACAACCTCCGACAAACTTAAGTTTAGATATCATTATCTTACTACAAATATGTGGTGCGTTCAAATTTACATCGAGTACCATTGAACTCTTATACCATATATATATATAATATACGACAATTTGAATCGAAAACACCAATCTAGTTCAATCGATCCACTAAAAGATCTAACTGATTCAATTCATTTCAATCAAATGCATTTAATCCAAGTCCAATTGGTGGATTCATGGATTGTTAGAAATTATAATTTAGTACTTACATACTATATATTTACCATTTGATCTCTAAACTTTAATTTTTTTAATGAAACTATTATTCGAGAATTGCAATTTGGTACCTGATTTTTTTTTATAATTAATGGCATTTTAGTATCTACATTTTTTAAAATTCTCATAATAGTTCAAGATTTAGTATCTAAAAATCAACATAATCTAATTCATGAATCCATCAATACATAGGACGAATTCTTCAACTTTGGATGGAATCTAGAAAATACTATAAGGCAATGTAAACATAAATGTTTTGCCACGTAAGCTCTTCCTGTGCAACCCGCACAATACGGATGGGCTTTTCTGTAATATTACATGGCTTCTCTTTTTCGCGCTCTCTCACCCAACCGTCCCGAAAATCCGGCCCCTCATCCTTCTGGCCTTCTATCTCCCAACCCAAACCCTCCCACATACATCGCCGGCGACCGCCTCTTGCCCTTCCCTTTCGCGCCGTAGCGTCTTCGTTCCTTCCTTCAATCTCGCTACCGCTTTGTTCTCTCTACCTTCAATCCATTCTCACCGCCACATCTCAGTCCTAATCTCAGAAACAGATTTGCCCTCCTCGAAGAGAGACTCCCCACCGACCATCGCCCTTTCCTTTCCGGCCTCCACTTATTTCTTCCTTGCTGCAAGTTCTTAGTGAGCCAAAAACTGCTACAGGAATTAGCCGATTTGGTCAGATAAGCTTCTTTTTGGAATACACAAGATTTGTTGTTGTCAAATTAGCTCCTTTATAGAATTCATCGGCTTCCAGAGAAGTCCCAGTACTCTCTTAGAAAACGCCAAATCAATTATAATTTTTAGGATTCCTACAGGTTAATCCTTGATTGTTTTAGCCTCAAATTCCATCCGCAGTGCTGCCGCAACCCGACCCAAACAAACCTCTTCGCTCACAAATTCTGGAACTTCTTCTACCCTTCCACTCTGTTCCACCTCCCCCACTGTAATTACATCCTCCGCCTCTTCTATTCTTTTTCCCCCCAAAATTTACTCAAATCTTAAACCTTGCTATTACACGGTATGTTATATTTGATGACATTAAAAGTTTACGATCTAGAAGCTTCACTATGTTGGTTTAGTTTTTGTCATTATGTTTACCCTTATTGTTGTTTATACTTTATAGGATTGACCTCTTTTATTTGCGCATATAGCGTCTTTTGCTCCTTTTAGTTTTTTTGTCTTTGCTCTTTTGGCTTTCATAGTGTTGGTTGGTTGACTGTGGAAGAAAAGAAAAATACATTGTTAAATTATACCATCAATCAAGTGAGATAGAAGTTCCATTGCAGATTCTCTATTGAATTTCAAGATTGGCTTTCAATAGAAGTAATAGTGGAATACATATTCATTTGTTTACATATTTAACTTGAAAAAGGGTAAAAATCACAGCAAACAACTCTCCCAACCCCAATCATAAATTATGATTTGGGCTGACCATAATTAAGTTATTTGGCTAATATTAGTTGGGAGTTATAGTGTTTCTGTCTTTGAGTAGCATATGGTTCTTCTTTAAAGAGCTTTCTGATCTATTTTTTTTTATTTGATTTTGTTAGTGAAGCACTTCTACTATACTTTAAAGGATTGGTATTTGAGATACAAATTAAAGTTGAATCATAACATTAGAGGTACAAGTTCAGGTGGTATTATAAGAGAATTTGTACCATTAAGAAATTTGTACAAAAAGTATATATACAACCTGAACTTGTGTCATAACATTAAAGCACATCTTGAATTTATATCATAAAAAGAAAGAAAAAACTAATACACCAACACTTTAAAGCATTGTAAAATTAGTCTTTCTTAATCATAGTCACATCTTAAATTTGTTCCAATTGTTGTGGATATATAAGACTTATCAAGCTATAATGAGAAGAGGGTAAAGGTTATTCCTAATATAAAAGGATATTTGTCATAATATGAAAAGTTAAACAATCTGCCTACATGAATTCAGCGATAGAGAAAGACTGAGCTTGCCCTCATGATATACACTGTCAATTTGAATTGTATGAACATATGTTTCTTGACAAAGATAGGTTTCTCTTTTGAGCAAGCCACTTTTGTTAAAAACATGTTTGCTGTGATAATGGTAACTTAGGAAGTCTTTGATTCCACCTGTTACACCGACACGTGTTGGCCGTTATCTTTACTTTGTCCATATTTTGGTTATAGGAACAGAGAATTATGTTATTATTTGAATTTAACTCTATAATAATCATAGGTATAAACAGTTGCGGAGCTACAAATCTTAACGAGGAGATGACTTGAATTATGGTAATTGAGCTAGAGGGCTAAAGGCTTGCCATCTACTCTATATCCTAAATTCCAATTCCTCTAAAAATCCAGTAAGTTGTTAACATGAAACTGAAATTGCATGTTGAACACTCAATTTAACTTGATCAACCCTCAAGCTAAGTATTTTTGGTCATGGTATTGAATGAAAAGTCGTCAACATTTAGATTATAAATAATAATTGGTTGGACATAATTTACTAACTTAGTTTCATAATTTGTGTTTCTCTTATCAATATAATTGCATTACAGTAAATAAGTGAAACATTAAGTCAACCTGTGACAAGATGAAACAAAGTTGGTAAATTATGAGAACGACCCACAAGATGAAACAAAGTTGGTTCTGAACTTTGAGGAAACTTGCAACACTAAGCCGAATCTAAAGGTATTGAAGAGAGTACCTTAAAGAGGCATAAAAGAAATATATAGTTGATTGACACTGAGGAAGAGGAATATAATTGTTAGAATAATTTTGTAGTTAAGGTTTGCTTTGTGATTATTACGTTTAGTAGCGTGCTTTTCATTTATAGTACGTTAGTGAGTGGTTTGATTTTCGGAAGCTCACGCTTCTAGATTGTAAATTGTTTCGCTGATATCTTTTGGTTATTGTTGTCCAATGAAAATGGGACACTCAAGTTGAAATCACACACATTTTGTGTGTTTATGACAGGTACAATATAATTTAATGTGTTTATCACAGCACCCGCCTGTAATTGTGTGGCAACAACCTGCATCTATGTGAGTTTAAGTTTATGTTAGAAACCGAAGAGTCATTCCCAACAGTTTATAGCAGTAAATCAGCAATAACTGCATTTGTGTGGGTATATGATAGCAACTTCGCTAATGTGTGAGTTTAAGATAGTAGTTTAGTTTACTTCCATACTGTGGCAACTTAGTATGCTAACAAAAATTATAAGCAGCTTCAATTTACCTTTTTTTTGTGTGTTTAGTGTCATTATAAGCAGCGTATAATTGCAGCATCTAACTTTGCCGGCCAACGGGTCGGGCCCAATGCTAGTCTATTGATTATGGGAGTGAAAGAGAAACACAAAGCAACATTATCAACAAAACGTAACCTCGTCATTGAAAAAGACCATACTATATAGAAGTGAGATGGACAGTAACTGCCAGAGTTTGTCTATAACCAATGTCAAGAAACGAACAGCCCAAAATTAGATGGGGAGTTTCACTTTCCATAACGTTGTTTCTTAAGCAAAATTACTTAAACTAGTAAACTACGGCCGGCCGCTACCAACCTTACATAGCAGTGATACTGTTACTACATATTGATGCCAAAGTTAAAGCTTTTTAGTATCAATCTGTTTATGCCTAAAATTATTTTTGATTCAATTAGATGCCGCATTAATTAGTCTCGGTATTTAATTCGATGCCGTGTGATAAAAAACGGCGCCGTTTAATGATAAACGGCATTGCGGATGGTAAAACGGTGCTGCGGGCCTCAAAGCTCAACGGCATCGCGAGACTGGGAAAAAGTGTCGTTTGGCTAAAAACGGCATCGCGACAAACGACATCGCGGATGAGTTAAAACGGTACTGCAAGGAAGCTCAGCGGTACCGCGACACTGGAAACGACACCGTTTACTGAAAATAAAAGGGGCCGCGCGTTTTAGTGTAAGTGTCGGGGAAGGAGTTTTTCTGTTTATAATTTATTATTATTTTTTCCTTGTTGGAAGGGGAAAATCGGTTCCGCATGGAGATAAGCGGTATCGCGGAGAGTCAAAACGGTACCGCGAAACAAAAAAACGGTACCGCAAGGAAGCTCAGCGATACTGCGGCACTTTATATGGGCCGCACGGTTAGTGTTGCTGTTGGAAAAGGAGTGTGTTTTTATTCTTTATCGGAGAAGGAGAGTGGAACGACACCGCGTAAAGACAAGCGGCATCGCGAAAATATAAAAACGGTACCGCGGATTTAAAAACGATGCCGCGAGAGCCTTGATAAGCGGTACCGATTAAATAAATAAATAACCATATTGGGTAAGTGACCAAAATTCGCCCAGGCCAATGCGAGTGCAGACTCGCGGCGGTTCCATGAATTGATATTTTTTGGTTATGTTAGCGGTGTCGTTTAATTAAAAACGGTACCGCGAGAAAGCCCAACGGTACCGCTGTACTAGCAAACGACAGTGTTTGATAAAAAAAAAAAACAATGTCGCAAAAGGAAAGGCAAACAGAGCTATTTGGGAAAGGAAACGACATCGCAGGATCATGAAAACAACTCACGTAAAGTTCACGCGAAGCAGTTTGAGGAACGAAGCGGTTGAGACATGTGGGAGTTCTCCGGACGACAAAGCAGTTGATACGGAGTTGCGTGAAGACTACGAAGCAGTTTTTTGAATAAAAGCAGTGGAGCAAGGAGAGAGAAAGGACAACCAAATCAACACAGAAACACATCTGTCAAACTTTACCTTTTCTCTGTAACTACTTCGCGGAGCTCTCCTTCCAGGAAGGATCTCCATAGTTGTAGTCTTAGTTGTAGTCGCGGAGCTCTCCACAGGAATCTCCATAGGAGTAGCGGTAGTGTAGATTCCTCAAAAAACTCAAACACCCTCGTTCGAACGTAGTTTGGAGAGGTGCGAACCGTAGTAACGGTCGTTCTTGGTTAGAAGTCAGAGGTGCATCGATCAAATCAACACCGCCCGGCGGTGGAATTTGACGGTCACGTTGATTTCATCATTTACAGGTGCATCGATCAAATAAACGGCGCCGACATTCGGCGGCGGATATTTGACGGTCGTCTCGATTTCAGCAATCAGCGGTGCATTCGATCAAACAGCACCGCAAGAGTTTCCACCGCGAAAGATCAAATCAACATCGCCGGAAACGAATTTGGCACCGACGGTGGCATTTGGTTTTTCTCGGGAAACACAATCAGGCAAAAAAATGAAATCCTTTCTCCTCATCATCTCCCTCACTGTAACTTCGACATTCCTCTCCATTTCCTTCTCCCAGGAAGCACCATCAGCTCCTGGGAAAACCGGCTTACAAACTTACATTGTGTTTCTAGACAAGCCAGAGGGCCTAACTTTACCCACGGAGGGTTCAAATTCTAATCATGATGATTTACATAGCTGGTACACAACATTTCTCCCTGAAACCACCTTAACCACAAACGAAGAGCGCATAGTGCATTCCTACCGCAATGTTGTCACAGGATTTGCTGCTAAGCTCACACCACAGGAGGCCAGAGCAATGGAAGACAAGGCAGGCTTTGTCTCGGCCAGAGTCCAGCGATCTTTGTCCCTACTCACGACTCGTACTCCTGAGTTCCTTGGTCTGCAGCAGAGTCTAGGAGCTTGGAACTTACCGAATTCGGGCGAAGGAGTGATCATTGGGTCATCGACACGGGGATCAACCACGATCACCCTTCTTTCTCCGACGAAGGCATGCCTCCCCCGCCTTCCAAATGGAGGCAGGTGCGAGTTCAATGGCAAACAGATTTGTAACAATAAGCTAATCGGTGTGAGGAGCTTCCTTACCAATACTACCCCGTCGGAAGATGTCGATTTCTACCATGGTAGTCATACTGCAGGGGAAGCTGCAGGGAGCCCTGTTCAAGGCGCAAATGTGTTCGGACAAGCAAATGGGACAGCGATGGGAATCGCCCCCAAAGATCACCTAGCAATGTACAAGATATGCCTAAAAGATGAATGCTACGAGAGCGAGCTACTGGCGGTGATGGATGCTGCTATTGAAGATGGTGTCGATGTGCTTTCGTTGTCGCTTGGTGACGGATCAAATCCTTTTTATGACAATACGATTTCCCTGGGTGCATTTAGAGCATTTCAGAGAGGTATCTTCGTGAGCTGCTCAGCTGGAAATGAAGGACCCTCAAAGTCTTCTGTGGTCAATGATGCCCCATGGATTTTGACAGTTGGAGCAAGTACGATCGACAGGGAGATCAGAGCAACTGTGTTGCTAGGAAACAATGTGGAGCTCCATGGTCAATCCGCCTACCAACCAAAGGATTTGAATTCGCGGCAATTGCCAATCATTGATCCTGCTGCAACTGGGATAAATGCATCAGCAACATTTTGTGGAGCAGGATCATTGAACAACATTGATGTTAAGGGCAAGATAGTCCTATGTCAGATTGGAGGCGAAGTTAGAACAATAGAGAAGGGACAAGAAGTGAAGGATAATGGCGGAGCAGCCATGATCTTAATTAACGATTTGGCCAGTGGATACACCACTCTTGCTGGTGCACATGTTCTACCTGCATCGCACATCAATTATCAGCATGGATTAGCAGTGAAGGGTTACTTGACCTCCACACAACTCCCTACTGCATCAATCTCATTCGGAGGTACCTTGATTGGCAAGTCAAATGCCCCACAAGTCGCCTTCTTCTCTTCTAGAGGGCCTAGTCCTCAATCCCCAGGGATCCTAAAGCCTGACATCATTGGACCCGGGGTCAACATTTTGGCTGCTTGGGGAGCCTCGGTTGACAATGCTACTAACTCATTCAATGTTGTCTCTGGAACTTCAATGTCTTGCCCTCATCTTAGTGGAGTCGCAGCTCTAATCAAGAGTGCCCATCCAGATTGGTCCCCTGCAGCGATAAAATCAGCCATTTTGACCACTGCTTACACAATCAATCGTGGTGGAAGTTCAATCTCCACTGAGCAGAACGTTTCTGCTACCGTCTTTGATCTAGGTTCCGGTCACGTAAACCCACCAACGGCCATGAATCCGGGTTTGGTATATGACCTCCACCCCGATGATTTCGTTCCTTATCTCTGTGGGTTGGGGTATGATGACAAAGCAGTAAGATTAATAGTGCAACGAAAGGTGAATTGCTCGATGGTACCTTCCATTTCCGAGGCTCAGTTGAATTACCCAACATTCTCCATTTCATTGCATTCTGGTGATCAAAAGACTTACACCAGAACTATTACTAATGTTGGCCTTCCTAACTCAACTTACACCTACAAGGCATTATCTCCGGAAGGCGTTGATGTTAAAGTCATGCCCAAGGAGATCAAGTTTAGAAAGCTGAAAGAAAAAGCGAGTTTTTCAGTGAAATTTACCAGATTCGGAAATGCAATGGGAAGAAGTAGTGTTAGTGAAGGTCACTTGGTATGGTCGTCAAATGAAGGTGAATACAATGTTGTAAGCGCTAGTGTTGTTGTCTTTGTGTGACTGACTATATTGAATCCCAGTCGTTTGAAAACAGCCACCCCACCCTGCGGTTTACACGAAAACCGTTGGGCAGGGGCACGATTTTCTGTGCAAACCGCTGGGCTAAGGGGCGGTTATAAAAATCTGTAAAAACCGCTGGGTGGGGCGGCGCTTTTGGGACAAACCGCCACCCCACCCAGCGGTTTGGTCCAATTTTTTTTTTCCGATCAACTCCTAACTTCGGCCGAAACTTCAAACGAACGTAACTTTGCACTCGGGTATCCGATCGTAGCGATTTTTTTTTTAATCCGAATAACTTTTCGAGATCTTGCAAGCCACAAACTGCCGTAGGCGGTTTGGTACCGCCTTCGTTTCGAAAAACGTCATTTGCTACCCCGAACGAGCCTTTTTTATTTCGTCAAACTTTGTGCTCCAAAATTCGAACGTCATGAATTTTTTTTTTGATTCCGCATAACTTTTCAAGATCTACAACTTTTAAGATAATCATAATTTCGAAATGTACATGGATTTGTGAAAAGTAAAGGTTAAGTTATTCTCAGGGTCCCGTATATCCACAACTAATTCCTGTTTTGAAAATTTCATCCTATTAAAAGTTGTAGATCTCGAAAAGTTATTCGGATTCAAAAAAAAAAATCGCTACGATCGGATACCCGAGTGCAATGTTACGTTCGTTTGAAATTTCGGCCAAAGTTAGGAGTTGATCGAGAAAAAAAAAATTGGACCAAACCGCTGGGTGGGGTGGCGGTTTGGGCCAAAACCGCCCGCACCCCCACCCAACGGTTTTCGTGTAAACCCCAGGGTGGGGTGGCGGTTTTTGAAAAAGGGTGGTATTTTTGGAATTTTTTAGGATTGGTTAGTATTTTTGGAATTCTTTTTTTAAATAGTGGTATTTTTGGAAAAATCCAGTCAAATTTCCTTGTTGGTTATGTTTTGCTAATATTATCTGATAGTGATGAAGTTCAATTATTAATGTTCGAGTTTTGTGTGAAATTATAAAGTAAAACGAAATTAGAATACATGTTTTTGTGTGGATCAATGAAACATCATCCTTTTTTTTTGGTGAGATGAAACATCATCCTTTAATATAAAGTAAAATGAAATTAGAATGTCTGTCCGGATCAATCTGCCATACTTAATGATCAGCTAAACTAACCAACATTTTCGACCTTGTTACATTCGGGTTCTTTAATTTTTCCCTTTAATTTTGAGTGACCAAATCTAAAGGGTGAATCTACAAAATTGCACTAGTTTTCAATATATTTCGAGAAACAAAATTTCATACCACTCATTACCACTCGTTAACATCCTAATATCACATGGTACTACTATGTATCATATGTTTTTAACCCAAAATTTGAATTTTTTGTACATAATGAACGAGATCATCGTGATCTATTGTGATCTACAAATTTGTGGGAGACATTTTTAGAATCAAATATACCACCTTTGTATAGAGTGGTAACTGGTGGTAGACTTTGATTAAAGCAACAAATGACGATTTGTATATTTTTACTATCATATGTGCAACCATTATACACCATGATGTATATATCCGTATCACCGTAGTACACTTCCATTCCACATTGTATAATCTTATGTACTATCAACATTACCATTATGGTATAAATTGGTAATATATGTCACAATTTTATTTGTTCAAAAATATGTCAAAGTGAATGTCATTTTTAAGAATGCAATTAATTAGATTTTTTAATGCAAATAAAAAATAAATATGACTTAAAATGATTGAGATTAAAATTAATTAGAAAAAAAGTTATATGTCTCAAATAGACGGTAGGTTGGATTACTGAACAAATTGAGTTATTGACCAGATATGCTCTCAAAATACCGCTACGACATTGTTAACCATGGATTTAGGTTCTTTGATTGTAAACTTTTTATTTTGAATACAGTAAATGTTTACCAATACTAATACCAAATTGCTACGTATCTGTAAATGGTTATTTTCAATCACAGAGTTCTTAGCTGACAAGGAAGCGGAGAGAAGCGTCTCATTGGACGTTAGAGAGATTTTTTCAAGTGGAATTGTCGCACTTAACACAATAGGCCATCCCACAAGACTCCCAGAGTTCGTTGACGGGAATCACTTTCATTGGACCAATCTCCAGCTGCTGTTTCTGGCCACACACAGCTGCAAGTATTATCTTCAAGTAGAACGAAAGAAACATCGCTTTCTTCTACCATTTTTTATGGGACCAAAGGAAGTCTGACCATGTCAAACTACGCATTTGGTATCTTAGTAATATCTTCAAGTGGAAGTTAAAATTCAGCATCAACAATTTCCACAGACGAAACCAAAATTACTGTAATTTAATTAGTAGCGGTAGCAGTACTAATATAGAATTGTGACTCTATATGTTGATGACCAAGGTTCAAGAGTTTCAGTATCAGGAACCTCAAAAATGAAAGCCTTTCTCCTAATCTCCCTCGCTCTAACTTCAACATTCATCCCTTTCTCCTCTCAAGAAGCCTCATCGGCTTCTGGAGAAGGCGACTTACAAACTTACATTGTGTTTGTAGACGAGCCAGCAGCAGGCCGGAAATTGTCCACAGAGTCGTCGAATGATGATTTACTTAGCTGGTACACCTCATTCCTTCCCCCAACCACTCTGAGCTCAAACAACCAACAAGAACGAATGGTACAATATTCCTACCGCAAAGTGGTCACAGGCTTTGCAGCTAAGCTCACACCGCGGGAAGCCAAAGCCATGGAAGAGAAGGAAGGCTTCATCTCGGCCAGAGTCGAGCGATCCGTGCCCCTACTCACAACTCACACTCCAGAGTTTCTTGGCCTACCGCAGAATTTAGCAGGATCTGATTGGAAGTACTCCTCGAATTTGGGCCAAGGACTGATCATTGGTCTCATTGACAGCGGGATCAAGCATGATCACCCTTCTTTCTCCGACGAAGGCATGCCTCCCCCACCTGCCAAATGGAGAGGCAAGTGCGAGTTCAACGGGATGCGAACATGTAACAACAAGCTCATTGGTGCTAGAAGTTTCTCTGCCCATCTAGGGGATCTCCCGTCAGAAGAAATCTACCACGGGAGTCATACTGCAGGGGAAGCTGCAGGGAGCCCTGTTCAAGGTGCCAATGTGTTTGGACAAGCGAATGGGACTGCGATGGGGATCGCACCCAAAGCCCATGTGGCAATGTACAAGGTATGTGGATTGGATGACTGCCCCGAGAGCGGGATACTGGCAGCAATGGATGCTGCTATTGAGGATGGTGTTGATGTGCTTTCCTTGTCGCTTGGTATAGAATCATATAATTTCTACGACGACGTGATTGCTGTGGGTGCATTTAGGGCCATTCAAAATGGTATCTTTGTGAGCTGTTCAGCTGGAAATGGTGGACCATCCCAGTCTTCTTTGGTTAATGAGGCGCCATGGATTTTGACAGTTGGAGCGAGCACAATCGACAGGGAGATCAGAGCAACTGTGGTGCTAGGAAACAATGTGGAGCTCCATGGGGAATCCCTCTACCAACCAAAGGATTTGAATTCGCGCCAATTGCCAATCATCGATCCTGATGCAACTGGGATAAATGCATCAGCAAGATTTTGCGGAGGAGGGTCATTGAAGAACATTGATGTAACGGGCAAGATAGTCATATGCCATATGGGAGGTAGAGTTGAAGGAATCGAGAAGGGGAAAGAAGTGAAGAATAATGGTGGAGCAGGCATGATCTTAATGAATAATTTGGCTGGTGGATACACTACCTTTCCTTATGCTCATGTTCTCCCTGCATCGCACCTCAGTTATAAGGATGGAAAAGCAGTAATGGATTACCTGAACTCCACGCAATCCCCAACTGCAGCAATAAAATTCAGGGGTACCTTGATTGGCAAGTCAATTGCCCCACAGGTTGCCTTCTTCTCTTCCAGAGGGCCTAGCTTACAATCTCCAGGGATCCTAAAGCCTGACATCATTGGACCCGGGGTCAACATTTTGGCTGCTTGGGGAGTCTCGGTTGACAATGCTACTAACCCGTTCAATATTGTCTCAGGAACTTCAATGTCTTGCCCGCATCTTAGTGGAGTCGCAGCTCTAATCAAGAGTGCCCATCCAGATTGGTCCCCTGCAGCTATAAAATCAGCCATTTTGACCACTGCCTACACATTCAATCGTGGTGGAAGATCACTCACAACTGAGCAGAACATTTCTGCTACCATCTTTGATATGGGTTCCGGTCACGTGAACCCACCAATGGCCTTGAATCCAGGCTTGATATACGACCTCCGGCCAGATGATTTCATTCCTTATCTATGTGGGTTGGGTTATAATGACACATCGATAAGATTGATCGTGCAACGGAAGGTGAAGTGCTCCATTGAACCCTCCATACCCGAGGCGCAACTGAACTACCCAACATTCTCCATTTCGTTGGGCTCCGGTGATGAGAAGACTTACACTAGAACAGTCACAAATGTTGGTCTGCCACACTCAACTTACACTTGCAAGGCTTTATCTCCGGAAGGCATTGATGTTAAAGTCGTGCCTAGTGAGATCAACTTCAAGGAGTTGAAAGAGAAAGCAAATTACTCCGTGACATTTACAAGATTGAGGAATGTCATGGCAAGAAGTAAAGTTAGTAAAGGTTACTTGGTATGGTCATCAAATGAAGATGAATATTACGTTGTGAGTACTATTGCGGTCGTCTTTGTCTGACAGACTATTGAATTCCCAAACATTTAAACAATGAACTCCTTCTAGTGGCATGTCAAGTGAGGGAATTTCTTGTATATAATATGTTGTCGCAATTGTGTTTGGAATGGTTCTACGTAGTTTATGCATCACAGTTTAAATATTTATCTGTATGTTCCTCAACTCAATATTAGTGAATCAATAAATTGTATTGCCGCGATCGAGCCTGTTAATTCCTAATTGATTCCGAGGTTTTAAACTTGGCCCAATAACAGAGTTGTATTGCGCCTTGCGGGTCGGACAAACTTAATTAGTAATAATCATTCGAAAAAAAGGAAATTAAGAAGTTGATGAGACGGATTGATATACCTTGCCAATAATTAAGGAGAAGCCAAATTTTCATTTTTTTCATTAAAATGAAATCATTAAAAATATTCATTTTTTTCATTAAAACCCCACGAAACAAACCATAAGATAAATATAGTCAAATTGTTGTGGTTCTCACCTATTACAAGTTCATATAGCTAAAATATGAGGTACTAAAAGTGAAATACTACGTAATTTGAGTAAAATTACATGTTTTTTAAGCACAAAAAAAGGGTTCGAAGATGAGGCGGGTCAAGGCATGTCAGCTCGAAGAGAGTACCTATACTCGCCCCACCTTGTTTATTGGACTTGTATTATCTGTCCAAAACGGTGATAAAACGAGTCAGATCAAAATTATCATTCTGGGTGCTAGTTTGTATCTTAATATATTAATCAACCAGCCATCAGAAAATCCCTTGAACCTCAAACCCATACAAGTAGCTTCGTGGTATGGCTATAATGGTCTCTCTCCTTCATTATTTTCTAGATTTCACTCTTGATTTGGTGCGACCCTAAATTTAAAATTGTAGAACCCTTAGCAAAGGTTGTATAAAATAAGTTAGTGATAAGATATATTGTACATAAATCGTAATTTAATTATAATTTAACCATTTTATACCAACAAAATCATATACTAATTTAAATTTCAATAAAGTGATTTTTCGGCCAAACCAACATTATGGTACAGTTAGCAAACACTGCTCCAAACAACGGGTAAATGCCACATTTGGTCACCGAGATTACTAAATTGTGTCATGTTTAGTCACTAGAAAAATTAATATCAATTTTGGTCACTCGAATTACTAAAACTGGTAACATTTAGTCACTCTCATGTAGCCTCTGTCCAATTTCGGTCACTCGAATTATTGAAACATGTCACATTTAGTCACTCGAATTACAGAAACATGTCACATTTAGTCACTCTCCCGGAGAGTGACTAAATGTGACCAGTTTCAGTAATTCAAGTAACCAAATTGATAATAATTTTTTCTAGTGACTAAACATGACACGATTTAGTAATATCAGTGACAATTGTGGCATTTACCCTCCAAACAACACACTTTGAATTTATGCTTGTAGTAGGTTACCAAGTTATGGGCCACAACACAAATACACATATGGTACCCTCATTGTGTTCACCTTCCATTTTTTGGGTTTATTGCCTTCTATTCACCCATGGGCCGAAGAACTTTTAAATGATATGAAAGCCAAATTAATCAAGTGGACTGAGTTCTTCAGTAAGCCCAAACAATATAATGCATTGCCAAAAGCCCAAAACAACTCCCCACCGGTTCTTCTGTACGAACGGGAACCATCATCGTCGAGAGTCGAGACGACTAGTCTTCTTCTTTGTTCCTTTTCCTGGCTTCCATGGCATCCATCAAAATATCGAAGTCTTTTCTCAACAGACGACAATCAATCACAGAGTTTTTAGCCGACACGGAAGCAAGGAGAAGCGTCTCATTCGAAGTTAGAGAGATTCTTCAAGTGGAATAGTCGCATTTCACACAATGGGCCATCCCACAAGACTCCCAGACTTCGACGACGGGGATCACTTTCATTGGACCAATCTCCAGCTGCTGGCCCCGCCACACCGTAAGTACTATCACTCTTCTAATTCCACTCTCAACACTTTGAAGCATAGCTGCCAGTGGAGATTCGCAAATGGGGTTGATGATTTTGCTCAAATAGAACAAAAGAACACAACTTTTTTCTACCATTGATGGGACCAAAGGAAGTCTGACCTTGTCAAAGTACATTAGGTCTGGTAAACTGAGTATCTTAGTCTCACATATGCAGACAAACTATCAAGACAGAAACTTCTCCAGCTCTTACGCCGAAAGTGGAGCAGAGAATCCAGCACCCACAATTTCCAACTGTTCTGGGCCATTCTTAAACTTCAGGTACTATATAACTGATGTTTTGTTAACTGCTTCAATTCAAGCACCAACAAATTCACTCCCTTTTGGTGCATATAACAATGTTGTCAGCCAATTCATTCATCCTTATCATTCTTTTCATGATCATGTTCAGATTGGGCTTGTGTCAAGCAAACACTGAGCTGGTAACCAGTGATGTTTCAGAAGAGAAGGACTTGTTGGAGACTTACGTTGTCTTTGTAAACAGACCAAAACGAGCTATTGTCAATGCACAAGAACAACAAGATCTAGAAAGATGGTACCAGTCGTTTCTGCCAGCTGCCACAGTCTCAACAAGCTCAGCATCCCACCAGCAGTCCTCGCGCCTTGTTCATTCCTACCGGAGCATTGTCACGGGCTTTGCTGCCAGAGTAACTGCCGCAGAAGCCAAAGACATGGAATTGAAACAAGGGTTTGTTTCAGCCTGGCCAGAGAGGATGCTCCAAGTCCACACGACACATACTCCTGCCTTCCTGGGCCTCCATCAGAATTCTGGGTTTTGGGACTACTCGAACTATGGGGAGGGAGTGATCATAGGAGTCGTAGACACAGGTGTTGCTCCTGATCACACTTCATTTAATGATGAAGGAATGCCTCCCCCACCTGCCAAATGGAAAGGGAGATGTGAATTCAATGCATCATTGTCATGTAACAACAAGCTAATCGGTGCTAGAAACCACTTGATGATAATGGTCACGGGACGCATACATCAAGCACAGCTGCAGGGAGCCCTGTTGAAGGTGCTAGCTTCTATGGTCAAGTCAATGGGACGGCAGTAGGGATGGCACCTAAGGCTCATTTGGCTGTGTACAAAGCCTGCTTTGCATCTGGTCATTGCAGGGAGAGTGATGTGCTAGCTGCAATGGACACTGCAGTAGAGGACGGAGTTGATGTTCTCTCTCTGTCTCTGGGTTATGGATCACTTCCTTTCCATCAGGATTCGGTGGCCATTGGTGCATTTGGGGCGATTCAGAAGGGTGTTTTTGTAACTTGCTCGGCTGGGAATTCAGGCCCAAGGCTTTCATCGTTATCCAATGAAGCCCCTTGGATTTTAACTGTGGGAGCCAGTACTGTTGACAGAAGTGTAAGAGCAACAGTAAGGCTAGGGAACATGAATACTGAGATTCATGGGGAGTCCTACTTCCAGCCTAAAGATTTTGCTTCAACTATGTTGCCTCTTTTTTATGCCGGCAGTAACAGAAACGCATCATTTTGCCAGTCTGGGTCATTAGATGAGTTTGATGTCAAGGGAAAGGTAGTGTTATGTGACAACTATGAAGAATTTGATGCAGTAGCACAAGGCCAAGCAGTGAAGGATGCTGGTGGAGCTGCAATGATACTCGCCAGTGATCCTTCTGAGGACTTAATCCCCACACCAGAGTTCCATGTTCTCCCAGCATCACACATAAGTTCTGCTGATGGCAATCTCACCAAAAGTTACATCAACTCTTCTTCGTCATCACCATTGGCTACAATAATGTTCCAAGGAACTGTCCTTGGTTTGCCTTATGCTCCCCAAGTTTCTCTCAGTTCCTCGAGAGGTCCTAGCTCGGCCAGCCCTGGCATCTTGAAACCTGACATCCTAGGGCCTGGATATAGAATTCTAGCTGCTTGGCCAGAATCCATGGATAACAAAAACAACACCAAATCAACATTTAATGTAATCTCAGGGACCTCTATGGCTTGTCCTCATCTTGCAGGAATTGCTGCATTGCTTAAAAGCTCACACCCTGATTGGTCCCCTGCTGCCATCAAATCTGCAATCATGACCACTGCTGATAGTGCTCATCTTGCAGGTGATCCAATCACTGATGTGCGATTTGTCAAGGCTGATCTTTTTGCTACTGGTTCTGGCCAAGTGAACCCTACAAAGGCCAACGATCCAGGGCTTATATATGATATTCAGCCTGATGACTACATCCGCTACTTATGTGGACTTGGTTACAGTGACACATTAGTGGAAATTATTGGGCAGCAGAAAGTGAGTTGCTCCCAGAATTTGAGCATACCTGAAGCACAACTAAACTACCCTTCATTTTCCATCACACTGAGCTCCACAACACGTAGTTACACCAGGACAGTGACAAATGTAGGAGCTGCCAACTCATCCTATAGGTCTGAAATCCTTGGCCTGCAAGGAGTTTATGTTAAGGTGACACCTGCTTCAATTGTTTTCACTGAGGTGAACCAGAAGGCGAGCTATTCAGTGACATTCAGCAAAGAAGGAAGCTTCACAAGACCTTCAGCTCACGGGTATCTCAGGTGGGTTTCCAATGATCACAATGTTACAATCCCTATTGCTGTTAAGTTTGAGTTTCAGTAATGGTTTCAGGGCTACGTAGCCTTTGTAGAAGTGTAGTGTAATTGTAAGCTAGCTATCAGTCAAGAATATGCTTAGGAAGCAAGGAAAGATCGAAACGTGAGAAGTTTATTTAGTTTCTTTGATAAACCCCTTTGTTGTGGGTAGGTCTTTTATTCTGATATCAGCTGGAGACAACCATAGCCTTTTTGACTAAAGGTTTCACATCTGAGATGAGTGAGACAATCTAAAGAATAAGCTATTCTGATTCTGTTACATGTCAAGATGGACATGTTATGCTCCATTCCGCAATCGAAACATGGAAAAGTATAAGGTGTTGTAAAAGATTGTTGATTTTGATTTACTGTTATCTTTATACAACAACCATGAATCTTGGTTTTGGTTTAACCATAATAATAATCTTCCCACTCCTACCAACAGATGTTTGTTATTTGAAGTGTTTTGTGTACACACACAAATTCAAATGGGACAAAATATCTTCAATAAAAGTTTTGGTCACTTACCTGGATCCCCAACCCTTGCACCTGAATAATTCCAAGAAAGCAAATGTTCAGTACCAGAACTCTTTAACCTGTCCAAAATCCTTGTCATTGTTTAGATCGAAGAGTTTCACTTCCTTCTGCCTCTCAACCTCTTCTCATTAGTTCCTATATATCTATTCATGGCTCTGCAGGAAAACTTCATCCAAACCATTTTGTATCAACCAATGAGTTCCAAAATGCTGCCAACACATTCATCCATCCTCCTTCTGATCCTTACTTTCACTATCACCTCCTCGTCGGAAATTTCAGAAACCTACATTGTCTTTGTCCAGAAACCACCAGCAATTGCAACAGCAGCAGAATCTCAAGATCTGAACAACTGGTATAGAACTTTTCTACCAGAAGTCACAACGTCTTCAGCCTCAACCTTGAACGAAGACCGTATGGTACACTCGTACCATACCATCCTCACAGGTTTTGCTGCAAGACTTACTGCAGATGAAGCCAAGGCAATGGAATACAAGCCAGGATTCATCTCTGCCCGCCCTGAGAAGACCATGCATCTCCATACAACTCACAGCGCCAGATTCCTTGGCCTGCAAGAAGACCGTGGCCTCTGGAACCTCTCAAACTACGGCAAGGGAGTAATTGTAGGAGTTCTAGACACTGGGATTGCGCTGAATCATCCATCATTCGACGACAAAGGTATGCCCCCTCCACCAGCAAAATGGAAAGGCAAGTGTGAATTCAAGAGGAAAGTCTGCAACAACAAGCTCATCGGTGCAAGAAATTTCCTTTCACCGCGCCAGAAACCAATCGACGAAAATGGACACGGGACCCACACGGCAGCCATAGCAGCTGGAAGCCCAGTTCAAGGAGTGAGCTACTTCGGGCAGCTCAACGGCACTGCAACAGGGATAGCTCCTTCGGCGCATCTGGCCGTCTACAGAACATGTAATGCTCTAGGCTCGTGCAAAGAGACCGACATATTAGCTGCAATGGATGCTGCAGTCGAGGACGGTGTCGATGTACTATCGCTCTCGCTTGGTACTGGGTCGACTCCATTTTTCGAAGATGGCATTGCAGTTGGTGCATATGGTGCAGTTCAGAAAGGCGTCCTTGTCACTTGTTCCTGTGGGAATTTAGGGCCGGGTAAGTCTTCATTGTCAAATGAAGCTCCATGGATCTTAACAGTGGGAGCAGGCACGACGGATAGAAGTGTTAGAGCAACAGTGAAGCTTGGAGGAAGCAATGTAGAATTTCATGGGGAATCCTTGTTCCAACCTAAGGGCATCCTGCCTTCCAAGATGTTGCCTTTAGTTTATGCAGGCAATAATGACCACCCGATGTCTGCATTTTGTGAGTCAGGGTCCTTGAAAGGTGTCAAAGGCAAGGTGGTGTTGTGCCGGTCTGATGGAAGCCAGATGGGAAGAATTTGGAAAGGGAAAGAAGTTAAAAGAGCTGGTGGAGCTGCAATGATACTAATGAATGACAAAATTACCGGGTTTGAAACCACGCCTGAGCTGCACGTACTGCCAGCTTCTGAGGTCAGCTACAAAGATGGAATGAAGATCAAGAGGTACATCAACTCAACCTCATCACCAAATGGAACATTAGTTTTCGAGGGGACAGTTTTTGGTGTCACATATGCTCCCCAGGTAGCAACATACTCCTCAAGAGGCCCTAGTTTGGCGAGCCCTGGGATCTTGAAACCAGACATCCTTGGCCCAGGAAACAGGATCTTAGCTGCTTGGCCAGATGGCGGCGGCTCGAATCGAGAACCAACTTTCGAACTGATGTCAGGCACCTCAATGGCTTGCCCACATCTGAGTGGGGTTGTTGCCTTGCTTAAAGGTTCCCACCCTGAGTGGTCACCTGCTGCGATAAAATCTGCAATCATGACCACGGCTGATACGAATGACCTTGGAGGAGATCCCATTACTGATCAACAGTTTGAGGAAGTCAATTTGTTTGACACTGGTTCAGGTCATGTGAACCCAAACCGGGCGAATAAACCGGGGCTTGTGTACGATATCAAACCAGATGACTACATTCCTTATCTGTGTGGGCTGGGGTACAATGATACAGAAATCGGGTTCATTGCGCAGAAAGTAGTGAAGTGTTCAACAGTGGAAAAAATGGTTGAAGGGCAACTAAACTACCCCTCGTTTTCTGCCAGATTGGGGTCTGCTGCTGCTGCCTCAGTGACTTACACCAGGACAGTGACGAATGTAGGGCCGGCTAACTCGACTTACGTAGCTCAGATTGTTGCACCGAGAGGCGTTCGTGTTAAGGTCACGCCTAAGAAGCTTCGGTTCAGGGAAGGGAAACCGTCTACAAGCTATTCAGTGACATTCAGGAGAAGAAGAAAAGGGAGCCTGGATGCAGCTTTTGCACAGGGCTATCTGGTTTGGATTTCTAAAAGATATCGTGTCCGGAGTCCCATTGCTATCACATTTGAATGATGCTGGAGCAACAGAGGGATTTACAATCTAGAACCCTTCTCTACGCCACTAACATCTCCATTTTGTCTCTGCACTTACTAGTGCATCAGCTGTAATTTCCATGTCTATATAGTGTTTCCTGCAACTTGATAAACTTTTTTCCATTCCATGCCAAACAAAAGAAGGATTCACAACAAGAACTTAGAGGACGAACATCAAAATTGGTTCTTTCACTGAAAGTAGCATCTCCAATACATTTTGGCAAGACAGATTGTTGGTGGTTGGGATAATTCTCTCACATAAAAGTAAAACAAATTCCTAAACTACCACACTTATAAATTTTTTTTTCAAAATACCTAAGTTTGGAGTGGTTCGAGTTTGAGGAACTCGAACTACTAACCGGTTCGAGTGTAGGAGACTCGATCTAGTCGTAGATCGATGATATAAGCCTCGAACCATGTGGCGCTGAAGTGGTTCGAGTTCAGTGAACTCGAACCACTCCTTTGAAATTTCCAACAACCTTAGCTTAGCGCTCGGTTATCCGATCGCAGCAAACTTTTTTTCTCATTTCGCATAACTTTTATAATAGAAAACGTCATTTGCTACTCATAAACGAGCAAATTTCCGAATTTGTCAAACTTTTTTTTTTTGGTAGAAAGGTCGACGCAAGTGCGCCTAATTCATTAATGAGATATTTCGATCTTGGGACACGCCCAAAACATCATGGAACAGCCAGTGCCTAAGCCCTGGGTCGCATACATCGAAGAGATGTGTGCCAAAAGGATAGGAGAAGCCCAAATTGGCTAGAAAATCAGCCGCACAGTTTGCTTCCCTATAAACATGGGATACATTCACTTCCCAACTAAGATTAAAAAGATCTCTGAAGGTAGAAGCCATGTGTCCATGTCTGTGATCTTCATCATCGCAGTTGCGAATGATTGCAATGGCCGTCGTCGAATCCATTTTCAGCTCGACTTTTCTGTAACCTGCATTCCACGCAAGCCTAAGGCCTTCAGCTGCGGCTTTGAGCTATGCGGCCGTGATAGAGCACGATCCGAGGTTACAAGTGAAAGCATTGATGCATCTTCCTAGGTGATCACGGATGAGCCCGCCTGCTGCTGCTCTTCCAGTGAGTGGCATGAAAGAACCGTCAGATTGAACTTGAACCCAGCCTTCATCAGGGGGTTTCCAGGCAATCTGCGTCCTAGTCTTGATGTTCTTGGCAGCGATCGTAGTCATCTGGACCCATTTTTCAGCTTCTTCCACAATTTTGAACCAAGCATGGATCCTGCACGAGAGGCTAATAAGATTGAAACTCTTTTTTTCCATGACTTCTTCGTTGCGTTGCTTCCAGAGGTTCCAACAGACGATTCCAAAGTGAACGCCTTTATCCTCATTCAGCAGGTTGTTCAGCATCCAATCCTTGAGGGGCAAGAGGGGATTTTTGTCCTTGATCGTGTCCTTGAAGTTGTTCCAAACAGCCCTCGCTTTCCCACATCCACGCAAGATATGGTCGATTGATTCTTCAGTATCCTTACAGATGTTGCAGCTGCTATTCTCAGTGATTCTCCTCCTTGCCCTTTCCTGGTTAGTCATCAGTCTGTTGTGCAGAACCAGCCAAAGAAAGTGCTTGATTCTGCTCGGGCCCTTCCACTTCCAAAGTTTTGCCCAGCATTGATCCGATTCCAGCTCGTCGCTTTCTTCGTTCTCTGCTGCAAGTGCATAGGCTGACTTTAGGCGAAATCTTCCATCCCGTTCAATTCCCCATATGGTTCTGTCATCCCCCAGGTGAGCTTTTGGTGGGTCAGTTCCTGCAATCAAATTGAGACAAAAGTCAGGGAGAAGACAGTTCAGTCTGTGCCAGTCCCACTCTCCCCTATCTGTAACCCACTCAGCAACAGGGGATTCTCTTTCAGATTCAGAGATGTTAGAGGAGAGAAAATCAATCAAGACAAAATCATTATCAAGCCAAGGGTGTGTCCAGAAGCTTGTTGATTCTCCGTTTCTGATGCTCCAGCAGCAGCCACTCTTCATAAGTGGCATGGCTCGCAGGATGGCTCTCCAAAGACTTGAATGGTTGCTCGTCTTCATGGATGTGATAGCTCCCTCCTTGCGGTTAAAGTATTTGCCCTGGATAACCTGCACCCACAAATCTTTTTCGTTATTGAAAATCTGCCACGCTAGCTTGATCATGTAAGCCATGTTCAAGCTGCGGGCAGTGCGCAGGCCAAGGCCTCCCTGGTTTTTCCGTTTGCAAATAGTTGCCCAAGAGAGTAAATGAGCTTTCTTTTTCCCATCCTGTGACCCCCAAACGAAGCCCCTAATTTTCCTATCTATGGCATCACAAACAGACGCAGGAAGGTAGGTTGTTTGCATTGCATAGTTAGGGATAGCATTAAGGACAACAAGGGCGAGAGTAACTCTTCCTGCCAGAGAAAGGGACCTAGCTTTCCATGAGCTAAGCTTGTTGTCCATTCTCTCAAGGATATATCTATAAGTCTGCTTGGTCATTCTACCATGCAAGACAGGCACCCCTAGGTACCTCCCTAAGTCAGAGGTTGCTTGGATTCCTAACCTAATGCAAATGACATCTCTAGTTGAGGGATTGGTGTTCTTAGAGAAGAAAACTCTCGATTTCTCCCTACTGACCATTTCCCCCGAGGAAGAGCAAAAGCGATCAAGACAGGAGACAACAACATCAGCATGCTTAATGTTAGCTTCAGCAAAAAGGACAAGGTCATCAGCGAAAAAGAGGTGGGACAGGTCAGGACCACCCACTGAAAGTCTCAAGGGTTTCCAGTTTCCACTTTTAACCTCATGCAAAATACAATGACTGAGGCGCTCAATGCATAATGTAAAGAGATACGGAGACAGGGGACACCCTTGGCGAAGACCACGTGTTGGAAGAAAGCTATCAGTTTCCCCTCCATTCCACATCACTTGGAAACTTGTTGTGGTGACACAGGCCATAACAAGAGTGATGAAATCAGTTGGCAAATGGGCTTCCTTGAGGGTTTCCTCCAAGAACTTCCAGCTGATGCGATCGTAAGCCTTAGCAAGGTCAACCTTGAGGAGCATCGAACCTTTCTTTCCAGTTTTCTTCGCCATGGAGTGGACAGTTTCCTGCAATATGATGATATTGTCAGTAATATGTCTTTTGGGAACAAAACTAGACTGGTTAGGGTGAACAAGATGTGGCATGATAGTCTTTAGCCTGTTGGCCAAACACTTCGCCACCACCTTGTAAGTCACATTGCAAAGGCTAATGGGACGGAATTGACTCATGGAACATGGCCCTTCCACTTTTGGGATGAGGACAAGAAGTGTCTCGTTCACAACTTGGATCTTGTTGTGGTTCCTGAAACACATCTGGATAAAACAAGTAAGGTCAGATCCAACATGATTCCAGCATTTTTGAAAGAAAAGCGCGTGGAATCCGTCCTTTCCTGGGGCTTTAAGACCATTCATTCCCATAATGATGGATCTGATCTCCTCTTGGCTAGGCATTGAACTCAGCTTGGTCAAAGCATTTTGTTCCACAAGTGGAAAGTCAGCAGGGACAGGTGTAGGGGCCTCGTTGCCATCACTTGTAAAGGTCAAGACAAAGTGATTCCGAGCCAAAGCTTGCAGCAGGTCGGGGTCGTTGATCCACTGTCCAGCATCATCTTTAAGACTGAGGATTCTGTTGTGTTTTCGTCTGCTGAGGGCGCTGGTGTGGAAAAAGCGTGTGTTCATGTCTCCAAAAATCACCCAGTTTGATCTTGACTTTTGTATCCACAGGAGCTGTTCTTGCCAAAGGGTATTTTCAAGGTCTTCTCTTGTGTCCTGTTCTTTCTTCAAGGATCTTTGTGTTGGGGCTTTTTCATTGATCATCTCCAAAGAGTTGAGGGCGTTTAACAGCTCTCTTTTTCGTTTGAAGATGTTGCCAAAAGTATCTTTGTTCCATGCCTGAAGCTTCTTAGAGAGGCCCTGCAGAGAAAGATGGAGATCAGCACCATTGTTCCAGGAACTTTCAATGAAGGGGAAGAAGTTTGGGTGAGTTAACCAAGGCGCAAGGAATTGGAAACTTCTCACCGGTTTGTTTTTGCCCTTGTCAATGGCAGTGCAGGTCAGGATCGGCCTGTGATCCGATTTCAGCTTGGCCAGATGAGTGGTAAAAGAGGCTGGGAACTTATGGTGCCAAGCAAGGTTGCAAAGACTTCTGTCAAGTCTTTCTTTGATTTGGGTGTTTCTTGTAAACCAAGTAAACTTGGGTCCTGTGAACCCCAAGTCAATCAACCCGCATTCATCAACGCATTCTTGGAAGGCTCTTGTTTTAGCATGGTTGAAAGGGGCTCCTCCCTGCTTTTCTGAAGGCTTCAAAATAGAATTAAAGTCGCCTATGATCAACCAAGGAGATTTGATTTGTCTCTCCAGTCTTCTAATTTCATCCCAAAGCTCCCCTCTTTCGTGTTCATTAGGACTAGCATAGATAGCCGTAAGGAAGAAGGTTGTCTTGCCTCCCAAGGTACACTGAACATGGAGAAACTGTTTATGCTTATCCACGTAGTCCAGTCTCAACATTTTGCTATCCCAAAGGATCCAAATGCCTCCACTGAACCCCACAGCATCAGAAACCTGCCATGAGTCATACCCCATAGACTTGATCACGTCGAGGGCTTCACCACCATTGATTCTAGGCTCACTGATACAGACAATGTCAGGTTTATGTAGCGATTTGTAAAAATCAAAGGTAGGGAGAAAGTTGGGGTGTTTAGCACCCCTGCAGTTCCAAGAGAAAACTTTAACCATGGATGATGGAAGAGGAAAGCCTTTGGAACACAAGATCCCTAGGATCTTCAATTATCAATGGCCATGGCCACCACCCCCCTCCTTGTGTTTCTGTCAACAACAGATTTCACAGGAGTAGATGCACTTTCTGGCAGAGCAGTGTCATTGCCCGAACTCAAATCAAAGTTGATTTTTTCCGGTTGACCTTTCCCATTTTCAGGGGAGATAGACTTCTTCTTTGCTTTCTCCTTACTGTCCTTAGTTGTAGGAGACTGGAGCATCTTAGGCTGATGCCCCGCTCGGGCTCCTGATGCTTGTCCCCTCTCATTTCCCATCTTGTGCTGGTTCTGGGGGATAGAAGACTCGGCGGTCTGCTGCTTCTGCTGCAGATCAGATCTTGGCTCTTCTTTGTTTCGTCCTTTAATGCCCAGTTTACCTCCAGGGTCGGCAGGGGTCTCCTCTTTCTTCTCTGAGTTTTTGGGGCCACCTTCCTGTTTCTTCCCTTTGAGTGTATCTTTCTTTTCCTTCTTCGTAGAATTATTCTTAGTTTGTTCTTGCCCTTTAGCCTTCTGCTCCGTTTGTTTCTCTTTCCCCTTGTTCTCATTGACCTTACTTTCCTTGTTGCTTACCTTCTTTGTTGTTTCTTCTTTGTGACTCTCTGGGGAGCTTTGCTGGGTGGCTTCATTCTCCTCTTCATTAATTTCCTGTTCGCCTTCTTCCTCATCTTCATCTTCATTTTCAAGAACATTGAATCTCGATCCAGCTCCTGTCTCCTCTTGCTTGGTATTCTTAACTGGATTCTCTTTTGCTTTTCTCTGGTTTCCTATTTGTCTAGTCTTTCTCCGGGTTCTTGTTGCAAGCATCCACGGCCCAAAGTCCTCCATAATTTCTGGTCGAATTTCCTGCTTTTGGGGTGGTTTACTCTGAGAGCTCGATTCATCCCCAGGGCTGTTTCTCATCTGGTCAGTCAGAGTGCATCCTTCTTCAAGGTGCCCATAGCATCCACACCTAAAGCAAACAGTGTGGAGTCCTTCGTACTCCACTCTACGCACTCTTCTTTTGATTCTATACTTTGAAACCAGCCTCTTCCTTAAATCAATCTCCACGCAAATGCGTGCATAATTTCCTCTTGATCCATTTGCAGTGTTGTAGTCTATCTTTTCGACTCTCCCAATTTTATCACCAATATCATAGAGAATCTCTTCATCAAAGTAGGCTAGAGGGAGTCTTGGAAGTCTTACCCAAACAGCAGCTCTGTTGATGGAGTCGAAATCAGGGTCGAAGTCCAGCCGCCAAGGTTCAGCGGCAATGTAATGATCATCCGCTGTCCATGGTCCTCCGTATAAAGCACGATCGTGATCTAATTGCGAGTCGAAAATAGCCTGGAAGTATCCGTTGCCAATGTCGCCGACCTTGATACCACCTGTCTTTGCCCACATGTTTTGTATTCTCCTGTGCTTTGCAATCCGAACGTCGCAAAGTTTTTTATTTTATTTTGCATAATATTTTGAGTACTACAACATTTACTAGGAATAAATTTTCAAAATAGGAATAGTTTTTAATATAAGGGGTTTTGGGAGTAACTTTAACTTTAATTTTCACATTTTCACATATATTCTGAAAATGTTTCTATTATAAAAGTTGTAGTCCTCAAAAAGTTATGCCAAATGAAAAAAAAGTTTGCTACGACGGATAACCGAGCACAAAGTTAAGTTTGCTACGATCGGATAACCGAGCACACTTCAGCTCCACATGGTTCGAGGCCTATATCATCGATCTACGACTAGATCGAGTTTCCTACACTCCAACCGGTTAGTAGTTCGAGTTCCTCAAACTCGAACAACTTCAAACTTAGGTATTTTGAGAAATTTTTTATAAGTGTGGTAGTTTAGGAATTTGTTTTATTTTGATGTGTATTTAGGGAATTAATCTTTAGTGGTTGGAAGAAGAAATAAGATTGTTTGTATAAAAAAGAAAAAGAAAAGAAGAAACAAGATTAATGGGTATTTTGATAAATATCTGAGATGGGCTTCTACGGATCAAACAGAGTATGCATACATGAGATGAGCTTCGGAGAAGAGGAAATTGTAGAGATGACAATAGTGCTATGACCGTTTTGTCACTTTCAGCTTGTGTTGTACTTAGAGTCTTAAATGGGACGTCGTTCTCCACAACCCCTGAACGAGGAAAGTTTAAAAGACGAGTCGCTTCTTAGTCTTTCTCGTCCATCACTTCAACTTGGTATTATTTAGTACGCTATGACCGCTTTGTCACTTTCAGCTTGTGTTGTACTTAGGGTCTGGAATGGGACGTCGTTCGACAAGCACGCAGTTTCCGTTATTTGGATGATAGCTTTCTCCACAATCTTAGAACGAGAAAAGTTTAAAAGACGAGTCGCTTCTTAGTCTTTCTCGTCCACCACTTCAACTTAGTATTATTTTGTAATGTACCCTAATGTACCCATCAACTTCAACTCCAACTCCGAGACGTATGTGGTTTAGTTCTAAAAACACAGAATAACAGAAGTGTACAAGAAAATATTAGCCAAGACACATACGTACATAGACTGATAGACAATGAACTCGCATAATTTATAGAAAACTAATAACAGCGAAAACCGAAGGCCAGGCCCAGATCAGCCTAGTAACATCACATCATGATACACGCGTCCAAAAAAGAAAGCCCAAAAAGAAAGCCCAAAGCTCCCAGCCCCCCATCGTACATAATATTTTCACGCTGTGTTCTTTTCTCATTATTAGTCTTTATTAACGCTTTTCCTGCCTGCTATACTCCTCCCTTCTGGTCGCAGATTCAAACCCGACACCGCCCTGCGCCGCTCCACCGACACCCTCGTCGTCATCCGGTGGCTGTCCGATCATCAATTTCTTCGTCTGCTGCGCTATCTCCACTATAGTCTCGCCGATGGCTCCCAACACTCCGCCGCCTTCCTCGTCTCCTTCCTCCCCTCCTCCTCCCGTGGTCGTCGTCTCCGTTGACCACTTCTCCGTCGCGAATTCTCCTCCGCCGCCCCCGCCGATTTCTGCTCTCCCCTGAAACCCCTCTCATTATCATCCTCCAATTAGACAAAATCAATCTCTAATCCCAGATAAATTAAAACCTAATTTAAACAAATTTTACCTTCCTCGTCTCCAATTCCCGTTGCGCCTCATCCTTCTTCCTCGCCGTGTACTCTTTCGCGCTCTCCCCCGTCGTCCCCACCGCGCTCTTCACCGCCCCCAGCGGCTTCCCGGCCAGCTCCGCCGTCTTGTGCCCGGCGTACTCCGCCGCACCCTTCACCGCCCTCGCCGCAGCCTTCGTCCCCTCCACGGTCTTCTCCGTCGTGTAATGCGCCGCCGTCCACCCCGCCGCGGCCGCCTTCTCCCTCACGTCCTCCGCCACTTCCGCCACGTAGTGAACCGCCCCTTTCCCGCTTTCAACGGTCACGTCCTTCGCCGCCACCGCCTTCTCCACCGTGAAGTCCTTCGCCTTGCTAGCGTACTCTTTCGCGGTTTGGGCCACGGTATGGCTCTTCTCCGCCGCGGTGTCCTTCGCCTCCCTCCCCTTCTCCGTCACGTATTCCGACGTCCTCTGAGCTCCTCCCGCGGCGGTGTCTTTCGCTTGGGCCGCCTTCTCGGTCAGGTACTCTGTTGTCTTCTGAGCACCTCCGGCCACCGTGTCCTTCGCCTGCCTCCCTTTCTCCGTAGCATACTGAGCACCTCCGGCTGCTGTGTCTTTTGCCTGCTTCGCCTTCTCACTCAAGTACTCTGTAGTCCTCTGAGCGCCTTCAGAGGCCGTCTCTCTTGCTCGGGCAGCCTTCTCCGAAGCCAATTCGGAGGCTCTCTGAGCTCCCTGAGCGACAGTGTCTTTCGCTTGTGCGCCTTTTTCCTGGACCGTTTGGGAAGCTACACGAGCCTTCTCCGCCGCCGTGTCTCTGGCCTGAGCAGCCTTCTCTTGAGCCGTCTGAGAAGCTCTCTGAGCTCCTTCTCGAGCACTTTCCTTGACTTGACCCCCCTTCTCTTGCACGGTCTGAGAAGCTCTCCGAGCTCCTCCTCTTGCAGTTTCCGTCGCACTACCGCCGCCGCCTCCAGCCTTCTCGTCGTGGCTCCCCTGCTTCTCCTCATACCTCTGCTGTGCACCCCTGATAGCCTCGGCCGAATTCTGCTGAGCAGATCCTCTGAGCTTGGAGATGTCGGAAAGAGAGAGTTGGTCTCCTTGATTAGTCTCTCGGCCGCCGCCACCGCCGCCGTGGCCTCCCTCTGTTTCCCTGGTGACTTCAAATTTTCCGACGGTATAGTTTGTTCCGGTGCCGGACGGCTTGGTTTCGTCGTGGGACAGGGACTCGAAATGGGAGGCGATCTTGGGGACTCTGTCTTTCTCCAAGACAATCTCCCGCTCCGTCGTCTTGTTATCTCTCCTAGACTGTTGCTCGGACGCCATTGTTTGTTTCGACTTCTTGTCTTTGCTTTGCTGAAAATTCTCAACCTGGTTTGCTGCTTCCTTTCTGTGATTTGTGGGAATGTAATGGAAGATAGTGCTTGATCGATTGGTGAAGCGAAATGGAGAGGGGGAGTGGAGTTAAAAGGGCAGGGGAGGTGGGAGTGGATAGGAACTACAGGGAAGGGAAATGGCGGTGCTGGGATTGGTGAGTTGGAGGAAGGCTGCCACGTGTTAGTGAAGGGGAGAACTGACTCAGCTTTCTGCCTGACACGTATGAGATAGATAGCGAAGGAAAGGGAGTCTGTCGAAGGTGGCCTGGGAACTGACGCGTGGGAGTTGGCTGCTTTCTCCACGTGTTACCAGCTCCAGACACGAGATATTCCATTCCAATTCCGTAGGAGGGAAATTTGGGGCGGCCAACGGAACTCTAGGCTACGTTCCCGCCAATTTTCAAAGTCTGTTGCAGGCTGCAGCTGCTGGCTAGGTATTGATCCCTGGACTTTGGTTAATCTTTCTTAACGAATCAACGTTAATGTGATCCTATGAATGCTCAAAAAACTCGTGACAGTAAGCGATTTGTATATATACCTCTATCGACTTGGTTAAAAGTTCTGAACATTGTCTAAGATTGCCTCAACTGAAAACCACCAATTGGTGAGAATGATTGCTACTGGAAGCACTGTCAAAGGAGCAAGCTTTTATAGCTAGCTCAATGGCACGGCAATTGGGATAGCTGCATTAGCTCATTTGGCAGTATACAGAGTTTGTGATGCAATTGGTGCCTGTAAAGAAGCAGACATATTCGCAGAAATGGGGAGGATGGTGCTGATGTTCTTTCCTTATTGCTTCGGGAGAACTGGTTCTTCTCCCTTCTTACATTTGATGCATTTGCTGCATATCGAAAGGGTGTTTCGGTTTCTTTATCAGCATGGAATTCAGGTCCAAAGGTATCATCATTATCAAATGAAGCTCCATGTGTATTAACAGTTGGAGCTGGTGCCGTGGACAGAATCGTGAGAGCAACATTAAAGCTGGAGACAAAGCAGAAGTTTATGGGGAATCATTTACAATATATAAAAAAAAAAGTTTACTTCCACAAAAAAAAAAAAAAAAAGTTTATGGGGAATCTCTTTACCAACCAAATTATTTTGATTCCAAGTTGTTTCCTCTTACATCTGCAGCTTCGAATGGCAACAAACCGGTATCTGCATTCTGCAACCCTGAGTTCCTTAGGAGGTGTTAATGTCAAAGGGAAGATGGTATCTGTATTTGGAGTAGTTCAGAAAGAGCTAGAAGTGATGGTCGGTAGTGCTGCAATGATACTCATGAACGACCAAAACAATACCTTTGCTGGGTTATCTGATTTACACGAGCTACAAACATCACTTGCCAGTTATCTTGATGGCTCGAGAATCAAGAGTTGCATGAACTCTGTTGGGGATGTGACTCGGAAATACCTAAGGATGATCGCGCCAAAGACGACCGCGCCAAAGCCGGCGCGCGAGTACGGAGAATGGCCTGGAAAGCTCGCGCGTAAGCTCCAAACGGCCCCCAACGAGAAGTGTAATAGCGGCGCCGCGTCACCCGAAGGGTAGTCACCATCATAGTCCTAGAGTAGTCAACATCATAGTCCTAGGTATAGTCATGGCTAAGGGTCTTGTCGTCCCTAGGGATATGGTATTGGTCCATGACGTGTCAGAGGTCATGTCACCCTGCCATGGTAGTCACATCATTGTACCGTTGTGTACCTCACCCACCACCATGTAGCCTATAAGTATGGCATTTACTCCGGTGGGTGAGGGGATCGGATTTTGGAGACTCTACCTCTAAGATCGTCATTTTCTCTCACTAAAATAAAGACTCTCAACCCTTTCTTTCCTCTCATTTGTCTCATAGTTCTTGTTCGACCAAGCCGTTCATTCTTCTTGACCCATTACAGTGAACCTCACTCCTACACTCAGTTAGGTTCAAACAATTGGCGCCCACCGTGGGGCCTGAGGAAAAAATGGCAGAACAAAACTCCAACATACCCGGCGAGGTAACCCCCATCAAGGCGATGACGGATCCTAGGGTGTTCGGGGGACTCGCGGAAACCAGCAACCGCGACGCGGTACTCATTGAGGAAGAAGGGCCCGAACTGACAGCCAAAGGGATGAGGCAACAGATGGCTAAGCAAAACGACGTCATCGCCAGTATGCAAAAACAGATGAGCCAAGTTATGGCGCTCATGATGAGCAGAGAAGCTGCGGCAGCGCCGAGTGCGCCGTCTGACGCGTTACAACTAACGCAAAGAGGAACATCAGGCCACGTCGCGCCACCTCATCAGACAGTGGTCGAGTTGGCCGCTCCTGAAACTCAGTGCTACGAGCCACCAGGAAGAGCGGACCTCAGCTTCTTGGAGCAACACCTGTCCCCACAGTTCCGCCCCAATCCGCCCAGAAAGGCCTTACATCAACCATTATGCGCGGAGATCATGGCGGAACACCTGAGTGGGGCCCCACCCACCCTCCCCACATACAATGGCACCACCGATCCTGAAGACCATGTCAGCACTTTCTGCCTACGGATGCAACTTCAAACCAACTCCAACGCGGCACTATGCCGCACGTTCCCATCAACGTTCTCCGGGATATGCCTCGACTGGTATAACCGCCTCCCGAACGGAATCATCCGCTCCTTCGAGGAGTTCATACTTCTGTTCACAACGAAGTTCGCGTCACAAAAAAGGAGACCTCTCCACCTCAAGGCGCTTATAGACATCCGCCAGAAGGATGGAGAGAGCTTGCGGGCGTTCTACGCCAGGTGGTCCAGAGTGGCAATGGCTGTAAGGGATCTCACCCCGGAAACCGCCGCCCACCACCTCATGGACGCCACTATTAGCATGGAGCTCAAGAGAGCGCTAGCAAAGAGACCGATTACACTGTCTACTGAGCTGGAAGTCAAAATTGAAAAAGCCATCACTTTGGAAGAAACGCTAGGCGCGGGTTCCACCCGACGCTTCGAGCCAGCCAAAGTGCAAAGGGAAGAGCAAGCTCGTAGGCAACTCCCCGTGCCGCGGGATCAGCTGTTGCAAGCGCACAGCGGCGCCAGACGGCCACCACCTCCTCCAGAACAAGCCCATCGAGGACGATCACCAGAGAGGCGCCCATCAAACTATACTCCCCTCAACGACACGGTCAAGAACGTCTACCACGTTCTACGAGAGAAGGGGTACAAGATCAACTGGCCCGCCCCCATGAGGACTCTCCCACACATGCGCGATCCCAAGAAGCGCTGTGAATTCCACAGAGACACGGGGCACTGGACAGAAAACTGCAGAGAATTGCGCTACGAGATCGAGGGCCTCATACAAAGGGGACTGCTGAGCGAGTTCATTCGCGGAGCGGAAGAACCGGTGGAGCGCCCTGTGGAACCCCCACCACCACCACAGGCGGACTATGACGACGCCTCGGGCTCGTACTTAGTACGAAAGGAAATAGGGGTGGTAACCGTAGAAGGAGACCGTCCGAAGAAAAAAACCAAACGCGACCGCGCTATAGAGTGCGCGGCAGCAGTAGCTACGCAGAAGTGCAACCTGAGCTTCGACGACGCTGAACTCCCCGGAGGGGTCCCTTCGGAGGACCCACTCATCATCACCGCGCTCGTCGCCGCCTGCAAAGTTCGCCGCCTACTGATTGACGGGGGCAGTGCGACGGACATCCTTTTCAAAAGCACGGTCGAGCAGATGGACATCGACCCGCGGCTAATCAAGCCCGCATACGGGAACTTGGTCGGTTTTTCCGGCACCAGGGTCCCAGTTATCGGAGTAGTCACCCTTCCAGTCGTGCTGGGGGACCAAGAGCCACGCGTCTCGAAGCAAGTCGAATTCACGATAGTCGACTGCAGGTCCCCCCACAATGGAATTTTTGGCCGCCCGCTCTTGGCAAAATTCATGGCTCTCCCGTCAACATGTCACCAGAAACTCAAATTCCCAACCAAGGCGGGGAGCGGAGAAGCGTGCGGGACAGCGTGGGAGCCAACAAAGACAGGAGAAATCCGCCAGACCAACATCGTTGACACAAGGGCGGAAGAACCTCGCCCGGAATCAATGGATTCTGACTTCGAGGTCGCCCTTGATCCGAGCGAGCCAACCCACAAGGTGCGCGTTTCAACTCACGTCCCCGGAGACGCGATTGAACCGCTAATAAAACTGCTAAAGGAGTATAAGGAATTGTTCGCATGGTGCACGGAAGACATGCCGGGCGTGCCAAGAGATGTCGCCCAACATTCCCTTGGTGTCCCGGTGAGCGCGACGCCAAGACAACAGGCGCGGCGGAGCTTTACGGGAGACAAACTTAAAGCCATTGAGGAAGAAGTGGCGCGCCTGTTGTCAGCGGGATTAATCCGTTCAGTGAAATACCCGAAGTGGCTGGCAAATGTGGTGTTGGTAAAAAAGTCTTCGGGAGCTTGGCGAATGTGCGTCGACTACACGACGATCAACAAGGTGTGCCCAGGGGACCCGTACCCGCTGCCGCGCATCGACCAACTGATAGACGCCACAGCCGACCATGAAACACTGTCCTTCCTGGACATGTTCTCGGGATACCACCAAATCCCAATGTCGCGCGAAGACGAAGAGAAAACAGCCTTCATGACGCCGTTCGGAAACTTCTGTTTTGTCGGAATGCCATTTGGGCTGAAGAATGCAGGCGCGACATACCAGAGGATGATCGACACAGTGTTTGCGCAGCAAAGGGGACGCAATATCGAGGCATACGTGGATGACCTCATCGTCAAAACCAAAGCAGGGAAGTCACATCTAGATGACTTGCGCGAGACATTCGAAGCACTCCGCAAACACAGTCTCCGCTTGAACCCGCTGAAATGCGTGTTCGGAGCAGAAGCCGGAAAATTCTTGGGATTCATGATCACAAAGCGCGGCATCGAAGTCGACCCAAAGCAAATCACCGCAGTCCAAGGCTTGCGCGCGCCAAGAAACACATTGGAGATTCAGTCCCTGAACGGGAAAATTGCGGCGCTAGGAAGGTTCATCCCAAGGTCAGCTGACAAGTGCGCCCCATTCTTCAAGACACTGAAAAACGACGCGCGATTTGCATGGACCAAAGAATGCGAAGCGTCCTTCCTAGAACTCAAAGCCTATCTTGTTTCCCCCCTGTATTGACTGCCCCAAAAGTTAATGAAGAACTTTTTCTGTATCTTGCTGTGTCCACAAGAGCCGTAAGCGCAGTATTAATATCCAGGAGAGACGGTCAGGCCGAGCGCCCGGTGTACTACACGTCGCGAACTCTGGTCAGCGCAGAGACAAGGTATTCACCCATTGAAAAAGCAGCATTAGCACTGGTCAGCGCGTCGCAAAAACTACGCCCATACTTTCAAGCACACAGAATCACCGTC